AACTCAGGTTCTCAAAGAAGGAGAGAGAACATCACATGGACTCAAACCTGATGACTCAATTGTGAAAAAACTCAAAGACAGTCGCATGCTGACTACCAGCGATGGACGAAAGCATGAGCGGAGAAATGAGGGGAAGGATGGAAAAAGGCACAAGGGGAGCTCAAACACTCAGTCACCTGTCCTGAGTTTTGATGAACAAACAATGCGTAACGCCAGGAGGAGGCAGTGGGGCAACAGCCAGCACAGAGGCTGCTCCAGGAGGAACCTCAGGGTGGATTTTGCAGATATTGGCTGGAGCGAATGGGTCATAGCACCCAAGGCCTTTGAAGCCTACTACTGCGCTGGTACATGTGGATTTCCCATGTCCAAGGTAGGAGCACCCACAAGTCGCTCTATATTATATCATTTACTTCTAAAATAGCAGTAACAAGGTATATTGAGTGACTATAGTGTGTTGTTGTTCTCTTTTTGATTGATTTTCTCGTTTGCATGCCTCCCCTCCACTCAAACTCTCCCAGGTGACGAGGCCGTCTAACCACGCCACCATCCAGAGCATAGTCCGAGCCGTTGGGATCATCCCTGGTGTTCCTGAGCCCTGCTGCGTCCCGGAAAAGATGAGTCCTCTGGCCGTGCTCTACCAGGATGAATCCAGGAACCCAGTGCTCAAGGTTTATCCCAATATGTCCGTCCAGTCCTGCTCCTGCAGATAGGAAGAGGAGGAGGACGACACAGGGTGGATGCATAGAGAAACATAAAACAGGACTAACGGAGACAGAACCATACCTCTGTTTGTTGAGTGGTTTCTCGATACTGAGAAAGAAAGTCACGTTGGCCGTCGTTATTCCTTGAGGAACATAGGCTGTAGAGAAATCACTTCCATCTCTTTTGTTCTGTGGCAGCGGACTTGAAGAGACACATTGTCTGGCATCTGCCTTCGCAAGAGGAACAGAGTCCCACATGTAAAGCCAGGGCTCCACATGTCTAAGAAGCCCAGTTGTTTTGATTCTGTGTTTGAGATAATATTGAGGATTTCATGGACAGGAGCATTTAAGGGATGTTTTCCTTTCATCTCAAAACGTACTGGTTTTATAAGCAGCTCACAGAGAGTCTGTGTTCATCTTTTCTTGAGACACAAAGGCTATAAATGTACGACTTGATCAATGTGTCGTCGGGCAGCTTACACAGCAACATACAGTTGAGAGATTATGAAACGTATTTCAACTTTTTTTTTTTTTTTTTTAACATACTGTGTCGAGCTGTTCCTACTTTGAAGCTAATGATACGCCACAGTGTACATACATGCAACGTTCATTTGTTTGCAAGACAGGAAGGTTATTGTACATTCTTGCTCTGTATATCTTAAAAAGGAAGAACCCAATGAATTGTAGAGAGCATCTGGAATTCATTTACACACGCCATCCCTCCAAGAATGTTATAATGAAACCAGAAATATTTTTCTATTTTGAATGTGAAACTTGGTTAAAAATAATTTGTCATGGTTATTAGGTTATGTATTACAATATTTTAGATGAGATGGTGCTTTGTACATGTGTATTGTTTAAATTATGAAAAGATAGCCTTCTGTAAGTTAGAATAAACAGTAATTTAATCCAATGCTCCTGCTGGAATATTATTGTTTCACACAGTTTTATTTTTTGTTCATAAAATGGCATTTGATTCTTGGGAGGAACTTTTTTTTGTCCAAACAAACCTAAAAGGGCACCACTGTTCATCCAAAATAACTTACAAAAGCAGGAAGGTCCCACTCAAAGATAGCCAGCATTCCCCTACAGCCCCTTGAACCCATTATTACCCCACACCAAAGGCTCAGGCGACTGCTGACCAGCAAATATTGTGACTGATGCGGCTGCCGTGCGTTAATGGTGGATGGAGGAAGCAGACATGCACCTATTAGGACGTCAGCCACTTGAACTTCAAAAACATGGTGAACTTCCTCTTTTCTACCCATCTGTCCCTCCCAATTGAAAAACAGAACATTTCCAAGTGTTGGATGTTTTCCTCAACAGCCTTTCAAAAAAAAAAAAAAAACAGATGGTTATAGATTGATGACCTCAGCCACTTTAACTCAACTGCTTGTCACATTTATTCTCTGGAGGAGGAAGGTGACCCATGTGGTGCCTAAACAGTGTGTCAAGCTGACAGCGAAATGACAGAAGGGAACCTTTTGATTATTAACCCATTACTCTGTGGTTGTTTTTGTTCTGAGCCTGGAAAAGTTGGCGCAGAGCACCACATCTGTTTGCAACAACAGAATGCTTTGAAGCTCGCTAAAACTGGACAGTAATTTTGTCTCACATACAGAGACATTTAGGAACCACTTGGGGAGGGGGCGCTGAGCCCTTATACTGTTTATTGCAGTTGAGAATAAAGCTATAAGTCTTCTGGCTTGCGTACATGCTATTGTCCATGGAGAGCTAAAAAAAAAAAAAAAAGTGACTGAGCAGTCATTCAGCTGCTGTCATCTCTAAAACACAATGTGCCACCTCCTGCTGTCTGCATTGCTTTGCCCATTAGAGAGGCTTTCAAGTTTTCATGTTTTACTGCCACAATGAATTAAAGGGAATTTAATTTTGCTTGACAAAGATTAAAACAGAAAAAGACCCTTAAATGTCTAAGTGACATCAGATTTTCACTCACACACTGGACCGTCAAGATACAGTTGTATTTACACGGCAGTCAGTTACACACTACACACTGGTGTTCTCCATTTAACTAAGTATGCGCTTTCTAAAACCAACTTCCTGCACCAGACAGTGTCTTTTCTTACGGGGTGGGTCAGTGCTTTCACAAACATTAAATCCCCTTTGATTCAATAAAACATGAAAACTCTCAAGAGTAGGAGTGGGTGGATGTTTTGTTTTACCATTTATTATTATGAGAGTTGTTGGGCATTTTGCAAAAGGAAGCGCAAAAGAGAGAGTGTGGCCTGCAGCTGAGTTTTCACTGGCAAAGTGTGCTGCTGTTTTATGATAAGCAGTATCACAATCCTAAAAAGATTATCTGTAATCCATATTTGAGGATGACGGAGCGAGACAGATGAGGGGAGAGGGAGATGTCTGAAATACCAAATGAATGATTCAGTTTTCTCCATTCTGAACAAGTGGAAATGTTCTGCAGCTAGAAACCTTTGTACAAACGCACCCTTTATGGGGTCTAACCTCCTTTTAAATTATGATGACTGTAATTAGGGTTATTATAAATCATGTTTACATTAATAGATGTTTAAGCTTCAAAGTAGGCTGGCCCAATTGTAATGTACACATCCAGGTTCATATTTTTCCCCTCATTTCCTGACTGATCCCTTGTACGGCCCGGACCCACAGTCTGCTATTACAAAGTGAACCCCATGTCAACCGCAATCTCAGTCACAGGAGAGTACTTACAATGGTCAGTTCCAGCCGAGAAAACCACAGAAGTCTCGGCTCGTGTACAGAGGCCAATATGCCTAAAAGCCAAAACGAGGCGAGCGGGGAACCAAGAACAATATTTGTTTTTCCACATGATGACTGTTCAATTAAAGGAGAGCAATACGGCCATTATTAGACAACAGAGGATTTTCTGTGTCTGGGCTGAATTGGCTCTTTCCTCACATGGTTACTGAGCTCAGAGAACTAATGGCGCTCTTCATTAGGACATAGCTTTAATAAATTGACACTGTGCCCCTTAATCATTCATTTAACCATGAGGGCCAGTGGGTATTTTATTTAAAAATCTTATTTTTCCTGTCGAGAGTGGAAAAAAAAAAATCTACTTTTACCAGTTTCCAAAAAACTTTTAGAACTTGTTTTTTCAACCAAGAAGTTCATTTTAGTCTTGAAACAATTATTATTCTGGATACCTGAAAATAAATAAGGTTTTAAAACTCAATGAAAGATTATAAGATGATGAAGATGTTGCAGTGCATTTGTTCTTGCCATATTTTTGTGGGGTGTTTGTGTGCAGTTTTCATGTCTTGCGTAGGTTTTGGTGGGAGTAGTAAAACATATGAGTAATGATCTCCGAGTGATCTTGATCACAAGCAAAACATCCATGAAAGAAACCTGCTATATTTTTCAGAACTCCTCAAAGGCACCTGTTGATAGTCTAATCAGTCTGTGGCACGCAAACTCTTTGACTCAAATAAAAGTAGATAGCAGCAGTAGTGTGGGTGGGTTTCCATCCCTGCTTACGTTACAGAGTGACTGTACAGGGGTCCAGGCTTGACTTTCCCATGAACTTCATGCCTTCTTCCCGCCTCATTTACCTGCAACAGAGACGGCTATTTAAGTCCATCTGTACGGAGCCTGACCCGAATGAGATGTAAGCTGCTCACTGATGGTGGAGAAACATATCATCACACATTCAAAGCAGTGGGCTTATGTGGACTCCATCCAAGTCTGGTGATGAATGACAGCCATGAAACTTTTGAACCTAGAACTTGATTTCATTTTTTTTTTTTTCTTCTTCTTTCTTTTTTTTTTTTGAGTGGCAGCTGGGAAATCAGCCTCTGGTTGTTTTCCTATTCCAGTGTTTATCTTCAAACAGCTGCTGAAATTGTTGAAACATCTTAAACCTCACAACGATATTGAATTAATGCATCTTTTAAGCACATTTTTTTTATCACATTGTAGTGTGTGAGATCTTTTGCTCTATTCTATTCCTTCTCTCTATAAATGACACCGTCCTGGTTTCATTCAGGACAGTCTGATCACAAAGGAAACACGTTTGATAGACATTACACAGAATGATCTACAAAAAGTTAGTCTCAGTCGCCGCCTATTGGAACAGACGGATACCGACTCCAACATGATGGTGGAATAAAAACACTCGACACGCCGTGTTTTGATTTTCATCATTTTAGATTTCAAAACGAATGTGCGAACACACTCAGTCCACATGTTCTGTACAAAGCAGAGCAGAGAGAAGCTGATAAATAAGAGAATCGCGTCGAGATATTTATGACAATCGTGAGCTGTCCTCCAGATCTCTCTCCCCTCCTGAGTTCCATAAGGCACAAAATAATCATCAACCTAACAAACAGGGCTAAAAGGACAGACAACAAACTGCAGTGAGATCAGCTTCGCGCGAACCTCTATCGTCATCTAGTGGACAGGCTGTGGTGGCCATGCCTGTCCGTCTTGCTATTTTCTTTACATGTACCTACATTCGCTGTTATACACCTAATCTGGAGTATAAACATGTTAAATACGAGCATCATTTAGGAAATAAATAGACCTAGAGTTTGTTTGTGTTTTTTGTTTGTCCCTTCTCGTCTCAGTTGTGAGAAGTCATGTGTCTCGACAGGTGGTGCCGCTCTCGGAAGTATTCGTGGCAGATCGGGCAGGTGAGTTTCTCCTCCCTCCTCCTCCTCACCTGGGACTCCGCCGCGAACTCCTTCTTGTGGTGAGAGCGCATGTGGAAGACGAGGTCGGAGGTCATGCGGAAGGACAGGTTGCATTTGGCGCACCAGTTCTGCACCGAGACGCCGAACGAGGTGTAAGTCGGCGGGAGGATCGTGAGAGAGGACGTGGTCTGCAACTGGGCGCCAATGTTCCTGGACCAGTGCTCCGGTGCGTAATGGAAAGCGCTGTTTAACGCAACCGGGGAGGGCACCGTTTGTAAGTCACCGCTCAGGATGCTGGGTGCTATCAGGTTGTTGTATCCCATAACGGTCCTGGAGGTAAAAGCATCAGTCATCTCCTCTAGGCGGCTAGAGGGGGCTGTTGTAGCGCTGCTGAGATGCGCCTGGGGGTCAGCGGGGGAAGTTCTTTTACTCGGTTTACAGAAAGCGCTTTTCTGCTCGCCCTGACTGTTGGACAGAACCAGGGAAAATGCGCTGCTGCTACTGGAGTGCACGCCAGAGCTCTCTCCTGTTCTCTCTCTGTCGTGCGTAAAAGTCTCTTTGGCTCCCCTCACTTCGACAAAAGCACCATCCTTACATCCCAAATGATCCGGTTTAATGATCTTATCTGCTTTCAGTTTCCCCGCAGAGGAAGATGCGTCCCCTGCTGTCTGCTCGTAACCTTTAATCAGCTGTGTAATATTATCATCATTGGAAATGTTTGTTTTTTCTAACAGAACTGTTTTTCGGCCTTTGGGATAAAGAGTTTCCTCGTATTTCCTTCTCTTGGGAGAAATCTCTGCGTCCTCGTTGCTGCTGGGTTTTTTGTGTTCCAGATCTCTGGCGATGTTGTGGAAATCTGTCACTCGGTGTTGCCTCTTCATTTCCACGTGCTTGTGCCCGTAAACTTCGCGGCTCCAGGGGTCACTCTTCACTTGAGTGCACAGGAACCGGCAGTGGGCCAAGAAAGGATACTCGTTCTTGAAGACCTGGTTACATCTGCCACATTTGAATTCTACAAGAGACAAAAATGACATGATGTGACTGTGCACAGACAAATCCACAGATTGCCGATAATCATGTATTTTGAGTGAAATACAATTTAACCAAAAACATAAGGGCTCATAATTAGAAGATGCTAGGTGGTCCTCACCTTCACTTGATCCTCTGGTCATGTCTGTGAAGCCCAGTAGGTGAGACAGCTCCTGGTCGTACCACACCAGCAGCTCTTCCTCCTGTCGGATGTCCCGGGTGGTCCGCACATACAGCTGACCCGCTTTCAGAAAGGCCTCTGTGTTCTGCTCCTCTCCATTGCGCGCAGCCTGTACGAGCCGCAGCCAGGACAGCACCAGCGCAGAATTGCGCATGGCCTCAGGGTCCACCTGTTGACAGGAACCAATTGATATTTTACTCCAGATTCAAAATGATCACCTTTTAATTTAATTTCAAAAGATAAATTGTTAATCTGGCAGAATCCTGTCAGCAGGTGGCACTTTTAATTATTCAGCTACTTATACAGGTTAGTCCCTTTGTTATAATAGTCAAAGCAGCAGTTTCCATTGACAACATAAGGCCATGTTCACATAAAAGAAAGAATGTAAATACATAAATGTGAAAATTCAGTCAAAATTGGCCCACAATGACTTAGCCTGTATCATAACTAACCAAAGTAAAGAAATATTGAAACGTCCGTGTTTCATGACAACTGGCCACAGAAATGTACGACTCACCCTGAACACATAGGGTTTAGCTCTCTTGTCGCAGGACTTCTGCGCTATGAAGGCGATGGTGTCATAGAAAGTGTTTTGGAGCACACATGGACCAAAGCACGTGCCTGCAGGGATGCTGCGCGTAACTATGACACTGCTGTAGAGATCCGCTGGATGCTGGAGGAATTTACTGTCACCGGTCCAGATGGACCGAGGCAGGAAAGTGTGATCCATCGTTAGACTGTAATAAAAAATAAAAAATACAAAGGTTAAAGAAAAACTGAGTAACAGTGCAGGTTTAAAATGGTTCAGAATGATTATTTCAAGGTACCATTTTAAATCACGAGGCCTAAATGAATCTTTAACAGATTTAAAATAAAATTATGAGAATTGTAACAACTGATGCACATTTGTAATTATTGGTTTTAGTCAAACTAAAAACAGAGAACAAAACGCTACATGAAATAAAATATAGTGGTGTGACATGCAGTTAGCCAATGGATTCAGATGCTCCAACCCCACGCTGAATTGTCCTGTGTGTAATATTGAAAAAAACTAATTAGTGCAACAGTGTTTTATATTTTTTTTTATTTTTCCTGCAAAAATTACGCTTCCCAACTGTGAAGCAGGCGCAGCCGGTGTCGAGGCAAAATGATTTCTAACGTCCTTTGTCTCTGTTTTTCAGTCGGTTTCTCCTTTTGTCTCCCCATCTGCCGTGGAGCCCAACTGCCTCCTCTGCGCGCAGGATGAGTTCAATACGTTTCTGTCAATTTATGAACAATATTAACGCACGAAGATTACGTGACTATTGATTCTGACCTCGCTGGTCAATAAAAAGTATCGGATCAGTAAGGTTTTATTATTTACAATTGTGGACAGGTGACCGCGCGGAAGAATGATCTGGTGCCAATCTGAAAATTCCAGTTTTGCCATTAAGAATAACGACACGTGAGTGAAGAAAAAAAAACACATCGCACATCCCTGTGGAGAAAAAACATAGCAGAAGTGCATTCAGAGTGATGCGTGTGGACTCACCCGCCGGACATGGAGGGGGATGTTTGTGCCGTGTGGCAGCAAGTTGCAGCTGGTGCAGTGGACCTCGGTAATGATGCCCTCGCGTTTCTTGGTGACGAGTTACTTATCCGGCTGAATCTTCCTCCGTACTGTCGCCCCTCTCCTCTCCCACTCCCACTTATCCCCTTCAGAGAGCGCACTGAAGCGTGGCGCATTGATATAAACACGTGCGCGGCCACGCACACACGCGCGCGCTCACACACACACACACACACACACACACACACACACACACACACGCCTTGAATATAGCCCAGTCCCCTGGCAAATTCTCCCTAGTCTGATTTACAGTCCTCTACATGAAGAGGGGCGTTAGAATGAAGGGAGCAGTGACAATGTGGCCGCTAATGAACATTTTTGGGTCTTTAGGATGATGATCAATACAATACAGCATGCAGCCGGCTGATGTGGACACTGTGTCATATATTCAGGGTTTAAACATGGGCTAATGTGCCCATGCAGTCTCTGCGTAATTGCTCAATTTGAGGTAACTTCCTAAAACCAGGAACCAAGAACACAACCTGGGGCAGTAGACCTCACGCATGGCGGCCTTTGCCAGCCTGCAGTTAGTCGGATAAAAAACATAATAGTGTGTTCATGCGCAACAGATAGCCGGGCTGGACTTCAGTCTACACACGCTATGTGGGATTCAAAGACACGTTTCTGGAAACAATAAATCAAGCTACACGAGATTTACACGAGCGGTTGAAACGGTCCTGGCTCATGTGGGCAGTGGGAAATAGTAAAATTGGCCACAGATTACATGACATGATGCAGGGTGGTCTGGGTCTGCCACCGGGCAAATGCATTATTCATAAACTAAATGTTTCTGTCTAATGAGCATTTAATGGATTATTCTGCATCAAAGCTTTGGATTGGGTAAATGTCCTGGTTGTTATGGAGCCAACTTTCTATAATGAGAAGCACATAAAAGCCTTGGATGAGGAGACCTCTGGCTCAGTCTGGTTTAAGTATAATTACAGGAGCTATAGGCTGAAGAGTAGCCTATGTTATTTAATGGTAGATCACATTTCCTGGAATTTCAATGACAATCACAGGAACCCTTTGAAAACCTTTCAGTATCTCATCCTGTCATGAATCGAATTGCATCAGACCCATAGACCATGTCTTTGCAGTTCCTGTTTTTCATTCGGGGACGAAATGACTGAGTGGATGTCACCTTTGAAAATAGTCTATAAATTCCGAGACACATAAAATTATCGAATTGGACTATTGAAAACAAGGCTCAAAACGATGGATTTATTATGACTTTAAATCCTTGTCCACGCGAATCCTGTTTGTTTGGTTTTAATTCTAAATACTATGAAGAACTTTAAAGCAAAAATACTGAGGAGAAGCTCTGCATCAAACATCTTCAAATTAAACTGAATTAACCCTGCTTCATTAAATTTCAGGAATTGTTTCACGAAATGAAACAATTGAATTTTTTTCAGGAAGTTAAACTGAATTGTTTCAGAAAATGAACAAAAAACAAAACCGACTTTTCAAAAGACATTCTTGATTTTTTTTTTTTTTTCCCCCCATCATCAAATGCTCTGCATCTTTATTGTGGGTTTTCCCACCTCACACAGCAGCCTTTCTGCTCAACACTTTTTTATCATTTGTGGGGCAGGATTTTCCTCCTGTGGAAAAGTGGAGTTTTGTATCTCTCCTCGGGTGTCGCTCCTCTCCTCCATCCTGCCTGCCCTGCTCCAGTGCGTTTTTTTTTCCTCAGCTGAAAGAGAAAGACTTGAGGATCCCGGCTTAAACTGAACAAGAGTCCTGTGAGCTGAATGCGCTCGACCTAAGAGAACAGACCACCGAGAAACAAAGCCACACACGCAAAACAGTCGATTCAGAAACAGACGTTAGAGAAAATGTGAAGATCTTTAGTTGTCACAGTGTTGGAGCAGTCAACAGTAACCGGGAAAGATGGCGAGGACACAGACTCGCATGTTCCTCGCCTTGGCTTTGCTGGGAATTTTATTTCTCGATGTCTCGGTGAGAGGGGAGCTGCAGGGAGAGCAACAGGCGGAGGAGGAGGAGGAGAGGTCCTGTCAGGGCGCCTTCGACCTCTATTTTGTCCTGGACAAGTGAGTGTCCGATATTATTTATGGCTTTGTTAGTTTCTTATCGCTGCGCATTGCCATGCAACCGCCCAGTTGTTTGGAAACGCGGAGCGCATCAGTCGGTTTCAGTCTCTGTTTTTATAACGGTACAAGATAAAAAGTAACCTACAAGTTTTAACTTTGAAAACAAAGAAGCACAAGTCTTTATGAAATGTCTTTTTGTATCACAGAATCAGTCTGAAGATAAAATAGCGGTTTCTTGTTTAATGGAATGAACTACGCGTCCGGAACCTTTTTTTTTATCCTCATTGTTTATGTCTGAGTGCCTTTGAGCACAGGTATGCAGCATTGTATTTGAAATGAGAGCAATATTGTGGACATTAGTGCATGCTGTTCTTTTCGGCCGGTTCTCAGTGGCGAGGCAGAAGCTTTACCCACGGGATGTGGGCAGGGCGAGCAGGATGGATATAGAGTTTCAGGCTGATGACGCCTGCGGACACAGCTGCAGCAGCTGCCCCACAGCGGTGCTGTGTGGCCGGGTGATCTTTCCTTTCAACTATTCTTCTCGCCATCCACTGTGGGCCGATCGTATCCTGAGCCGGTCATGTAGAGACCAGAAGCAGGCTCCATGCTCTGCTCTGTTGTTTTTCTGCGGGAAATTAGATTTCTCTATACCGAATTTGATTAGGTTGATGCTTGTCATGGAACAAAAAAACACCAGAAAAACACAGCATGCATATTGGTCCCACTTTCTAAGGCATGTTTTACAAGGTGCTTAAAAGTTTGAACTAGTGACCTTTTTAGTGATTAATAAGATATTTATTAATAATTTATAGACCAGTAATAAGCCATGTGTAAGAACAAAATTTGGGTTGCCAAGTTATGAAAAAGCCATTGGTATAGTGTGTCTCTTCCTGCAGAGTAACTTGCTTTGCCTTTTCACTAGCCAGCAACACACAGTTCAACCACTGTGAACCTTCCAGAAACAGGCAACAGAATGTCTGAACTAAAGCTTATTTATCATACAATAACAATTTACAACAGCTATTAAAGTACATTTTATAAACTCTACTGTATATACAAGTGTTTATACTATATCTTTAAAAATCTACGCCTAACCTTGATCTTCGACTGATCCTAAAAGGGAATGTGGGTATTTATTTGATAGGACGCCATCGACGGTTGACTGCAAATGAGAAATGAGAAAATAAGAATGACAAACAAGGGATCTGAGGGTGATTTAGATCAGAGACCCTGCGATTACTAAAGACAGTTTAGACTTCTAATGCTGCCAGAAAGGCCACGACCCTGTTTCTAACATGAACATCAACTCTCAGAGTAACCCTTCCTTCATGCCATTGTAACACTTTTTATCTCCTGAAACTCAATAGACTTTGGCAAAATGTGGCACAGTTTGTGCACCAAGAGGAATGCACATTAGGCCACCTCACAGCCTCAGCAAACATACTTGACTTATTAAAATCTCATGCTAATAAGATTTTTCAGACCTCTTGTTTTCACCACCTTTGTGGGCTGTGCAAGCGACGTGACTCTGCCAGTAATTATCTGTGTGTGATCTCTGCAGTCTCAGATTGTGCCGCTGTTTGTGTGTGCTCAGACATTATAATTGACATTTTTGTCGTATCTTGGCTCGAGCTGCAAGTTGAGATTATGTCCATGGACACAGAACAATCAAACATGTCGAAACATGCAAAGTGAGCAGAGCAAGAGAAAGAGAGAAAGAGACAGAGAGAAGGGGGGGAATAACACCCAAAAAAAACATAGGCATGGTTGAATTTGTGCTATTTCTGTAAAGGAATAACAGGTTGTAATGTCAAAAGAATAGATATTATTTATATATTTTTTTAAAAGAAGGACTGAGTGCAGTGATTTTGCAGCGACACAGTTAAACACTGTGGTATCTGTGTATGACATTTGGGAATACGGTGAGGTAATGGTTTAAAAAGGCCTGCTGTATGTCCTCGGTTGCCCCGGGCTCACTACCTATGAGCTGTGAGGTGGACACGCTGAGTGACATTTCGCTCTGGTTTCGACACATTTGATGATCTTTCAGATGTCCACGGCAACATCTGTCAGCCGCTCTTCAGTCTTTACCCTTTGCTTCAGAAAGTTTAGGAAGAGCCTGGGGAGCGTGGCACGTCACGCATGGCCAGGCCTCTGGTACGCCTCTGTTTGTTTTTGATGGTCCAGACCTGCATGCTTCAGCAAGGCCTACGGGAAGCTGCTGATCTTTCTCCTGAGATGGCACCGACTTGTTGGCTGTTTTGCAGATCTTAAATGCCACACAGTGACCTAATCTAAAGTTTCAGTGGTAGAGAAAGGAGCAAAATCGTACATAAGGGATGTTTTGAAGTGTCTCCACTGGTCTTGACGTCTTCACTATTTGTCTTACTAACACGTTTGACTGTGGCCTCAATGTCCAGAGGGTTATGAAGCATGCTGTGTAGAGAATGTGTGCGCTCCACTGGAAGTATCTCAGTAGACACAGAACGAACATTAGAAAATCTAAACTACCATCAGCTCCCCACATTCCTACGCTCCACGTCTGATCCACACCAAATACCAGGCTGCATTTTTCCTCTCTATCTGGTTTGCCCACAAATAAAATAATAGGTGTTGTGTTTTATGGTTGGGTTTGGAGCAGACAGTGGTTTTCACTGATCTGACTGGCAGCTAGAAGAGATTCTGCCCTCATATTATGCAAACTTTGGAAATACAGGTAGACAGGTGAAGAATAATTGCTGGATTTGTTGGATGATGGTAGTGATTTAGATTTTTAATTTCTTCTAATTAAAGTAATAAAGTTAATGTACATGAAGATGTCAGAAAATAAAAATGCACATAGTCCGATTTGCTTGTTTTACCTGAACAACCATCCAAAAACCAAAAGATATTCACTGATATCTTCGCATTTGAGAAACTGGAAGTGGCAGCTATCTGGAATATTTGCTTGAAAATTGACAAAAAGTCCATTAACTAATAATTTCTGCACATGGAAAAGGACTAATAATGCTAATATGGTCAACTCCTGCTATGTCATTCATACTCACAGTAAGGTCAGGTCCTTTGCCTCACTCTCAGTTTGATGAGGAGAACACTTTTTTTTATTTTTATACTTTTGCTGTGTACGTGTATCAGTAAACACTGAATCTTGACATGAAGATTTTTTTGTCCAAGTTCCCCTTAGAGACTCCTCTTACCACAGGGATTGTATCATGCCCTCACTTCCAGGGAAAATGATGAGTGAAGCAAGTAGTGACTGGTTAAATAGGATGCACAAAAGAGCCATCATGAATCTAAGTAGCTCACACTTTCACCCCGTTTATGACCCTCTTACACACGCACGCGCACACGCACACGCGCGCGCGCACACACACACACACACACACACACACACACACACACACAGCCCTGCCCTTTGCTGAGTTTGGTGTATAAGCTGTTTGATGTTGCATCCTTCGATAGAAACTCACACCCACTCACACTCACACTCACACTCACACTCACATTTACCCCCTGCTGAGTGTTACTCCTGCGTCCCTCTGTTGTTCATGTCACAGCCTTTTCACTCGGAGGACCCCCAACCTGTTGTTGGACTGGCTGTGTTCACTGGGACCATCTGTTCCCCTTCACAGTCACACACACATGCATGCATGCTCACATAAACACAGATACTATACACACACACACACAGACACGGACACACAGGCCAGCTGCCTGCTACATGGTCCCTGCTAGAGGCAGACTGCTACATCTGTCCCTGTCTAACCTCAGCCCTCTGGCCCAGCAGCAATTAGCCCCCATTAGCAGCCCCCTGGGACTGGGCTTCATTAAGGAGACTGTCATGTCCAAAGCAGCATGTAGCAGGCTAACCAGCAGCTCTCACCGCTGACAGGTTACAGTCCAAAGTAATGGAATGTGACTGAGCGGCCAGAGGAATGTCCTCAAATGAGTAGGAGATGAACTCTGACTGTTGTTCCTGAAACATATCTCCATCTAGTTTGCACAAATTTGTACCAAGCCCCACACAGCCTTTGAATCACATGCTGTGAAAAGTGATGGCCCTGTTACACAGATAATACAATTGCAGTTATTCCTTATTTTTGCCATAATGTTTTGTAGCAAAGGTAGGATTACATCATTTTATTAATAACCCCTCTGATAAAAAAAAAATCACGTTTTTTACCTTGTTAACATGTCCATATGGTGTTTTTTTATATAATACAAGACACATCATGACAAATATAACCAGTCAAAGCCATGACTGCGTATTTCCACCTTGGAACTGCAGTGAACCAATGACGGTCCCACAATAATGGCTTCAGACAGCCAGGCTTTCATTTGTCATCTAACCTAAAGAACCAATCCTGTCAATCCCGGGGGCGGCCAAAATAAACCCAAAACCTGGTCAGTAATGAGAGTTTGCATTAGCGCAGCCACTGACACTGTGTCAGCCACTTCTAGTTGCAAGCTAGCAAACAACATAAACGAATGAAAGATGCTAACTACGCTAACCGCTTTGATATGATTTCTAGTCACCGATTTTGGTGCACAACAGACTCCTCGTGTCAGTCTGGGTCTGACTGAGGCTCAAAAGTCCCTTTAATGCTAACCATGTTGGCACTGGTCATCACAACCTTGTCAGTGCACAAAGCAAGTTTGCATTAGCACAGACACCAACACTGTGTTAGCCACTGTCTGTCACAAGCTAACAACCAAGATAAACAAATAACTACGCTTACCGTACTTGTAGGTCTTCTAGTCGCCGAGTTTGGAGCTCAACTCCTCGAGGCTACATCCACACAATTACGTTTCTGTTTGCGCCTGGCGTCCATACTACTTTTTCGAGGGGCTGAACTTTTGGAGAGCCTTTTGGAAACGCTGCTGGTCCCATTTTAGTTTGAGAAGTCCCGGGTTGCGTTAAGTCTGGATGGGTAGAAATTGAGATTTGTGAAAGATTAGGCTAACACCCGCCGCACTCCCTTATTGGGTCTAATCAGTCACGACTACCAGCGGTGAATGCAACACGGATGACGAATTACAAGCATTACTGACCTTGTTGTCTTTGCTAGCAGCTGTTGTGCAGTTCAATTCTCAATTTTAACGCCACAACCGCCTGCCCAGTTCCTCGTTCGTAGTATTTTCTGCAACTAATCAACTGCAGAGTAGAAAATATGCTTCCTGTTTACACCGGCAAGCGCATGCCCAGTGTATGTGAATGGTCATGTGATATGCGTTTTCAGGTGTATCAGATGTACTTCCAGCCCATGGATGTATTATAAGAAATGATAATACATCCCTGTTCTAGCCCCAGTTTGAGTTTTTTTTTTCACTTTTTATGACGGAAAATCACGTTAAACAAAATATTAATCATAGCGGATATTTTTACATTGTTTAAACATGTCTGGAGCGGAACTTTAAGGTATGCATATGGTTATTTACGTTAGCATAAACAAGAGTCTACAGCCATGCTAGCAGTTTTGAGGCTACTTAAACACAACAATGCTTAAAGTCAAGCTAAATGCTAACATCAGCATGCTAACATTCTGAGTAATATTGCTAATATGTTGATGTGTACTGCTAAGAAGAAACTGATGGGTTGTTGTGGAGGTATTTGGTGGTCAAAGTTGAGGGATTGTCAAAGTGATCAATGTTCTGTTTTCTAGTAATGCTATATTTGATTTTATGATATATTGGCTGTGGATACTCATTGTCATCTGTGGCAACATCACATTTCTTCCTTAAAAGGTTGTGTTTTTGTTTTTCAGATCTGGGAGTGTGAAGAATCACTGGATAGAGATTTACTCCTTTGTGGAGCAGTTGGCAGAGAAGTTTATCAGGTACAAGGAGGATTAGTCATTCGTGAATCATTTGTGTTTTCAGGGGTGGGGGGTGGGGGTTCTTCTGCTTTTGACAGTGTTAATGTGATCCAACTGTGTGTTTGTAGCCCCATGCTGAGAATGTCCTTCATAGTCTTCTCCACACGAGGAAACATCATAATGAAGCTGACTGAGAACAGGTAACAGCCACACCTGATCAACACCTGATCTGTCACTGTGTCTTTTGTTTGGATCTCTGTGTGCCTGTACCATGCAGGGATATCCTTTCTTGTGTTGTTATCTCTATCTGGGGAAACCAGATTTTTTTTTATGCAACTCAAAATTTAATTGCTTACAAATTTCATCCAGCTTTAGGCTGCCTACCAGTACAAAGCAGTGCATTCAGTTTACTTCGGACAGCTTTGGCTGGGAAGTAACACTTGGATACAACTAGAGCCACAAAATTACTTGCCAGCTCAAACTGCACCCTTCCTCCGTCTTTGTATCTACTGTATTGGGAACATTTCTCTATCTCTTTTCCAGAGAGATGCCTTCTTCCAGTGTATTTTATCAGTCTGTTTGTTTACCCCACAGGGAGGCCATTACTGGAGGCTTAACAGCTCTGAGAAGGGTTATCCCTGGAGGAGACACATTTATGAATTTAGGCCTGGAGATGGTAAGGCAGGGTTTAAAAACCCAACACGTTGGCAAAACCAGCCCAAATCACACTGGCTTAGTTTTTACTATAAGATTTTATTCTGGAAAATATCAATTGAGGATTAATTGAACCTGACAGCTGGAACCAGGGTGAATTAGATGAAGTATGAGGAGTGGCTCAGATCATAAATGACTTGCTACCACTTGAAATTGCTGAGCTTTTCTGGACAGGTGTTAAAGTAAAATTGAGCATGATCCCACACATCCGCATGGTCTGCTTCTCAATTTTTTAATTCAATCAGGAGCATGTTTTGGGGGTTAAAGATTAAGCAACATTTCTGCTGCTGACATGCAAGCAAGTGGTATATTCATCCAGCCAGGTGTAGGAAAGAGCACTTACCAATCTTGAGTCATACAACATACTTGAAATAACACTTTACCAAATCACACTGAGCAAAGTGCGATTTGTTGGCTGCCTTTGTAACGTAATCAACCTGTTCTAATTCATGCTCTGATCCTTGTATTGTCTGAAACCGTCCTCAGTCTTCTCGTTCACAAGCTTGACCAACACAATCTTTGCAATTGCAGGCCAATACCCAGATATATCAAGAGAAGCATGGTAAGCTCTGTTTAATACGCTCATTACATTAGCCTGCATTTTGCACATTGTTTCATAGAACATGAAAGTTGTCTGTTCTTCAGGTACGGCCAGCGTCATCATCGCTCTGACTGATGGAGAACTGAATGAGTGGCAGTTTGGCACAGCTCAGCAAGAGGTAGGATGTGTTAGCAAGTAGAGGGGTTTTTTTGTGGGGAGGGGGTGGACAAAATATTGTGAACACTTGATGAAAAAGGAGAACTTGCTTTGGTGAGCTCAAAATATCATGTAACCACAGTGAATACAAGAAGTGAAGCTCAACTAATTCCTGTGAATTCTGTAGTTCCTGTTGATATTTAAAGTGCACATTGTTAAATCTTTTTCAAAGCAGCCAATGCTGTGAATTTAACCACCTTTGTGTGGTTTGAGAAAACCTGATTTGTTCTTTGGGAGATATGTTTGGCTCCATAAGGTTACCAGAGTGTCTTTATGCTCACTGCATCTTGGTTTAATTGTTCTCTTCTTGTAGGCGCAGAGGGCCAGGTCCATGGGAGCCATTGTTTACTGTGTAGGGGTCAAAGAATTCAACCAGACCCAGGTAGGATCTACAGGAGGATATTGAAGATGTTGCCAATACCTAAAAAAGCAAATGCATTATTTTCTTTCTGTGTCTGTGTGTTTTTCTAGCTCGCAACTATTGCAGACACTGTGGAACATGTGTTTCCTGTGTGGGGAGGCTTCCAAGCCCTCAGGGGAATCATTGACTCGGTATGACACATACATACCACATGTATAGTCATAGAAACACTCACCCACACAGAGAGAGCCACAAAACCATCTTATGTTATTGAATTATCTTCTGACTGTGTTTTTTTTTTCTTTCTTCTTCTTCTTTCTGATCGCACAGATCATCAAGAAGTCCTGTATTGAGATTCTAGCAGCAGAGCCATCCAGTGTGTGTGCAGGAGGTAAGAGGTGGGAGGAGCAAGGGTTTCCCCTCCTTGTTGAGACACCGGGCAGCCACGGTGTGCGATTGTGTCAGATGACAGTCATATAAAGCCTCTGGAGTAGAACATGAGGTTGAGTAATCGCATGGACGCTTATGACCGCAGAGTGACAGAGAGCGTATTGTCATTCACGGCCGGGGGAAAATTAGCATAGCCGCTTCAGCACAGCATGTGTGCAAAAAAAAAAAAAAAAAAGGAAGGGGGGGGCGGATGTTGGTCAGAGGAATTAGCCATGAATCTTTAAGCATGGCTGCTTCCCTGGCCTAGTTTGCCACATTGTATATGCTAAATAGTCATTTGGACTGTTTTAACCTCACCTCCTGTCCCCACGTCCAGCTCCTCTGCTTCTGGACGGCAGCTTGAGGAAGTAAGAGGCAGAATAACAGCTAAAAAGGATGGTGAGGGAGAGCTGTAATGTGTAAGCCAGCAGGATGGATGAGCTTTGACATGACCTTATTAGGGCTCACTTAAGAGAGTGCATTTGGAGCCGTCCTACCAGGATGGCCCATGTAGATTAACATCCATTATGGGATATGATATGAGGAGAGGAGAGGAGCAGCAATGAGGAAGGATAATAAAGAATCACAGTTGTGCCCATGTGATAATTACAGTCTCTGGGCTCTTGCCAGAGCCTGAGTGTGTGTCACTCGACATGTGGACAAATATCCTCCAGCCTCATTTATTATTCGATTGATGAGCAGTCTAATGGTCAGTGAACTAAGAAACCAAGGACCCACTTTAACCAAGGCCTGATTCTGGCCTAATTAATGAAGGACAAAGATGGTAATATGCTTTATTTGCTTTTGTTGGATCATGTGTGTATGGATAATATACAGCTCTTATCTTAGAAATCCATATATCTTGTACTTATGAATGCTTGTAATTGTACTGTGATGAAATAAGATGCACTTCTGTTCCTTACTTAAGGCTTATTCTTGCAGTATAATGGAAAATAATGTGATTGTGGAGCACAAACACACATTTAGCAAGTGTGTGCTTTTATTTTGAACTGCAGGACTGTGAACAAGATTCCTCAGGGGTTTGAATGTAACCATCTACCCATATCTCTTTACTCATACATGCATACACTCTGACATATTGCATAGGTATTGTGACAGTCTCTCTCTCTGTCTTCATCTCTGCCTGCGTGTAGTCACATAATGTACATGCTTTATAGCAACACAGACGTTTAGATGTTCTTTAGTGAGCGCGCGCACATTTACACACACACACACACACACATCTTCAAGCACATATACACACGTCCCTCACACTGATGTGAAGTGACCAGACCGAGCTGCCTGCAAACAGGCCATCAGACTGGACAGTGAACGTTGGGCTGCACTATCAGACATGACAGCACTGATTTACCTCACACACACACACACACACACACACACACACACACACACACACACACACACACACACACTGAGAGGACAGTGAGAGTTGGGCCTTAGATCTAACATGACAGCAGAGATTGCTGCTTTCATTAACGTCTGACCCTTTCCTCCCCGTTGTCCCTTCCTCCCTGTCCCCTCCCTGCCCTTCACTGTCCCGTCGCACTAACGTGATTGAAGAGCCGCTGTTCGGACAAGCCGTACCCCATTTTCTTTTCTCACACACACACACACGCACACACAGGACACACATTCACATGCATGTACATGTGTATATAGTCACACACAGACAGACAATCATACAAATGAAATCCTTGTCAAACATTCAGGTGTGGATATAAATGGACATGTGGCCACAGAGGCAGGCAGAGAGCAGAGGGGAGAGGGCAGCAGCATATGTGTTGTACATGTCAGCAGGGCACCACCAGTCCCTGCCCACCATGTGTCTGACAGCACTGACCTTTTAGCCCATCAAGCCTCAGTGTCAGGGTGTGTGTAGAAGATGCTCACATTGCGACGTTTAGCTAAAAGCCATCACTGATTTATTAAGATTTAAAAGATCTGTGGAAATCATCCGAGTGTAGAATTTGGTATTTGAAAATACATTGTTCTTTGGTTTGGAAATATAATAGACGATTCACATTTAATTTTTGAAGTAATAAGATCCTGTTCTGATAAATGTTGAACTTTTACATCTTTTAGTAAAAGTAAGTAATATGCAATGCAATACACTACTTAATTAATGCATAATAAGGCAAAGCCAGTAACCATTTTTTTATTTTCTCACTTTTACAAGAATTGGATAATAACATCTCTTATGATTAGAGCAATATTTGCCATGTGCAGGACACTAAGTTGTGTATTTGTGTGTGTGCGCATGCGCCCTATCACAGTGCAGCTCATGCTATTTGATGGTAACACTGTGTGAAAGGGGGGTGACTGCTAAAGCAGACAAGGCACTGAGCATTAAGAATAATTAGTGTTAAGTCCTCTCATGAAGTTGCTAGTTGTTGTGGCTGTAAACTTGATGAGTCGTCAGTTTACTAGAAAATTGATACAGCCCAAGTTATTTGATATTGTATTTATATTATATAGTTGTAATTTTTGGTTTTGATTGTGGTGCTTGTGTTTTACAGTAAAATTAGGGCAGGGGTGCACAGTTAGATGATTAGGCTGTCTGTAATGAGATGTGTGGGTGATCGGGTGGTGTGTGTGTGTGTGTGTGTGTGTGTGTATGTATACACATATAGAATTGTTGACAAAATGACGAGCGGTACTGACAAGTTGCAAGTCATTGAACATGTGTAAATAAGCAGGAACACACACATGCAGATAGGTTTCATTGTTGCACTATTTATACAAACTGAGGAGCAGTGTGTTTAGTAAAATGTATTATCCAATATCTGTTTCATATACTGTATATCATATATACGTCTGATCCCTGTTTTTTTGAGAGCTCAATTTCAATTTCCGTCTGTCTTGCACATCACCGGTTTTCATCTTAGATCTTCTCCAACGGCAAATCTGCACTGTTAAACATTTTTGCAGCATCTGTAAACATGTGGAGATGTGCAGACATCTGTAAAGTGATATTTGTTTTCCTCCACTCAACTCTGTCTCTGTTTTGTGTATCTGTATTTATGGCTTTTCATAACAGCTTGTCTGACCTTTAAGGAAACACTGCCACATATACACTCACACCCGTGATGTTTTTATCCAGTGATCTTCACGCTGGAGCTTTAAATGTTAAAGGTGTGGCAAATGTTCACTTCTATTAGCCACGATAATGCTAGAGGAGACCTCAGTGCTCAGCCAGAGACCATGAATACACACACACATATATGTTCAAACACATGCCTGCACACATTCATGCATGCACACACTGAGGACATGCAGACGCTTACACATTCGTCAGAAAAACACAAAGCCAGTGCGCACATGTTACATATGTATCCTCACATACACTTCTGCATACACACACACACACACACACACACACACACACACACACACGTGCTAATGCCATGCCATGGCGCCATAGGTAAGGTCAGACCTACTTTGACAGTGCTATGCAGTTGTCAGCCCTACAGGCATGTTTTTAAGCAAGTGTTTTTTTCCCACTCTCTAACATATGCTGGGTAGCAGCCACATAGACACTCCAGCATATGCTGGCAAGCCTCTGTCAGTGCGCTTTAACAATGCCCAGGGGAAACTAAAGGTCAAAGACACACACACTCACTCACACACACATACGCACACACCTCCTGGCTACAGCACAGTCTAAGATGTTTGTGAATAGCAACACTTTTAAGCATTAGCACCACTGGAGCATATTATGGCCTTTCCACACATACACGCACAAGCACACAGATATAAACAAGCAGTAATGAAGCATGAACAAGTTTCTACTGCTTAAGTTGAGCCGCATCAGAGAAAGGGAATGGATATCAGAGCTCACCATAATGGCACACTAGAAATCTTTTTCTCGTTCAAATCAAAACTGGAGACCAATTTTTAGCTTTTTACATCTCTCACACGCATGGCTGAAAATATGTGTCTTATCATTGTTGTGCATATTGCTCATCATTTCTGATTACTCTTGTTGTTATCGCCTCAGAGAGTTTCCAGGTGGTGGTGAGAGGCAATGGTTTTCTCCATGCCAGAAACATCGATCAAGTCCTCTGCAGCTTCAAACTGAACGACACACACACTTTGGGTAAGTTCTATACAAAGTGCTGAAACGATTCGGGACACAGGTTAGCAGGATAATAGGAATCATTTATGCTAAAAGGTAAAAAAGTTGTGACGGTCACTGATTAATTTAGTTGATCTGGAAAATGCATCCAAACTAAAAGTGATCATCAGAAGAGAGCACTGCATTTGTTTGTATGCTTCTTATTACAGCAAATTTGCTGTAATACATTAATGCATACACTTTACTGGATCATGAGATTGTGGTTTGGCTTATGCATCTAAGAAGAACATGTGCGCTGTGTCTACGCTGCAGATGTTTCAATTTCTACTTCATAAAGTGTGATTTAGTTTTTTTCCCTGACTCTGCAGATGAGAGACCAGCTGGAATAGAGGATACCTTCCTGCTCTGTCCTGCTCCTGTCATAGAGGAGGTTGGGAGGTAAGCAGGATATCTCTTCTGGCTCTCACCTCCTTTTCACCCCTCCACCATTTCTTAGCCGTTACTCCAGTTACCAAACTCTCCCTGTACAGCTGTAACACTCTGAGCTAGATACTTGCCAGCTGTACGCCAAGTTTGGTGTGGACACAGAAGACTGCTGTCCTTGAACAAATTAGGGCCAAAGTCATTGAGTGTCTGTGATCAATCAATGTTTGTCACAGCTAACGAAGCCAGACACCAATCACAAGGGGACAACAGGAGTAGAGCCCAGGAACACGTCTTAATGAGAGCCTGCTGGAGAGGACCTTCACAACCGTGTGTGTTTGTGTGTTGTGTTGTGTGCGTGATGTATCCCAATCTCAGTCTGACACTTTGGGAGAGAGGAAGTGTGAGTGGAGTCGGCCGGGCAGTGTAAGGTTTCCTCTGAGGGCTCCCGGCTTTGCTCCTGGAGATTTCAGAGCAGAAGTTTCTTGCGGGGCAGACAGAGCGATGCTGTGGGCTGAGCTCGGAGAGGACCGAGGCCCAGCAGCCTTCCCGTCCCCGCCGCCTGGAGTCCTGTACATAATTATACACTCCGACCTGCGGCCTCAGACACCTCCCAGTCATCATCTGTCTTGTTGCTGTCACTCAGATTTCTAGCGTGATTTGAGCTTGTCTTGTCGGCCAGTGAAAAGCACTGCTCAGAGGTGGGCAAAAGGAATTTTGTTTTTATACCGTGGCTACAAGAGGATTTAAGAGTCTGTCACAGCACAGTATATTTTACTCTTGTCTTTTGACAAAAGTAACACATAATTGATACATAATTGTTTAGGGTTTGACATAATGACAGAAGAAGCCAAATCAATACATCAAGTATCCGGTCCTAAGTATGTCTTTGTGTCTGATAGTTGTCGCCAGTGTGGCTTGGTGGCGGGTTTGGGCTGCTCCTCCAGAGAGCAGAGCAGAACAGGGAGCATCATTACACACAGCAATGGTGCCTGAAGGAGACATCCTTCCATGTAACAGAAGCCCATTAGAGCAGAGTCAGCACTGCCTAACACCCTGAGTGCTACGAAAGAGGAAGTCAGCTGTGAATGGCTGAAGGGCCCAGAGAGGAGGCCAGCAGCTGGCTGATGAGTTTTGGGCTGTGAAGCAATGACGTGCAGATAAATGTGGACACATGTAGTGAAGCGAGAGTGTCTCCGTGCAGGCTGGACAGGTGTGGTGCAAAGTTATGCTTCGCGTATGGTTGTGTGCCAAATTGATGCTATTTTTAGTCCTGTCTGCAAAATCCCCCTCAACAGCCAAGCCTATGCAGATTATATATTTGACTCTACTTACAACTATGTTTATATTTATACATATGTACCTGTGTTTCCTTTAAGTCATTAATCAAGCAAAAAACATTTCTCAAACGTAGAGATTATCTTTTTTTATGTCATTGAAAATCGTATACATTTGGACAGCCCCCAAAACATGCCCTCAGAAAACATCTTCCTGGGTTATGATCAATTTTGATTTGAACATTTCTCACAGTTTTCTTTTGTTGTTAAAGTTGTTGTGTTTTTTGAAGAGAAAGAAGACGAGAAAAACAACAGCATAGTAGATAAGACACACTATCAAAAGAACCTAACACAGAACAGGCACCTTTACAAAAAAAAAAACCTCTCACCACCATGTCCACGTGCTTGTTTTTCTGGAGCTTTCAATCTCATCTCATGGCCTTCCTCGGTGCACAGAGTTGCTCAAAATTAAACACCAAGTAAGGGGACCTTGTGTTGAGAAATTGTTCAAACTGCTGTTTTCAGGGTCAAGAATGAAGCTTGAGGCTCCCATTATCACAGCATCAGTCTGAGACACTTGCGTATTAAATAATGCAGAGAGAAAAACACCACTGGTAAAATAAATTACAAGTTATTCACATTTTATTCACAGACATACGATGAACCATGAAGCTAGAAAGAAAACTGAACCCACCCACATAAGGAAGCACACAGATAATACCAGTAGTATAAAGATCGCTTCCTAATAGACATTAGATTTTTGACTATTTTCTACAATTTTATTGATCAAACTTAATCAATAATGACAATAGTAATCATTAGCTGCAGCCCTTAAAATCAGCCTTTACATGTCAGATCACATTATAGGTGAAATGCTTCCTGTTTTTGGGGTTGTAAAGTCTATACAGGAGTTCTCAGGGTCTCCAGCTCCCAGCGTCACCTCTTCACCCAAACCCCAAAGACCCGCAATCACCTCCTGTTCCACCCGAGCCTTGTCGCATATAATGAAGTCATTGACGCTGCCGTCACACAAATCCATGTTGACTGGGAACCTTCCGGATGAAGCCCCCCCCCCCTCCCTCCTGCACACACACACACACACACACACACACACACACACAGGGCAAAGACATATATAGTGGGCAGATTGATGATTGATAGGGGCTGAGATCACTCTGTCAGAGAGGAGCTGATAGCACCGTGTCCCCTGCCTGCCTGAGAGGAGGGCTGACCGTATTGGGGAGAGAGAATGGGGGCAAAAAAGGGAGGGAAGAAATGGTTGAAAAGATGAGTGGCACCTGCACCGCCAATTTCCTACTCTGAAGTCAGTGTCAGCATGAGTTATGAGACGAGCTCCAGTGGTATGGAGAAGATTCAGGAGGGGGTGAGGAGGCGAAAACAGAAGGGAGGTTTCAGAAGGGAGGGACAGCGCTGAGGGGATGTAGAACAGGAAATGCCCTCCTCCTACCATCCCCCACTCTCTGTTTCCTCCACACCCCCACACCACCCTGCAGTGACCTCCCCTTTGTCACCCCCCCCCTCAAATCTAAACCTAGAGCTCAATGGCACCCTTGTCTCTGCCCCCCCCCACCCCCCACCCCAAAACAGCACAAGAAGCCTTTCTCCATTCTGTTCCAAAACCTATAACTACAATCCAGCTGTCTGCTGTTTGTACCTTCGCCCATGTCTTGTTTTTGTTCAGAGCTTTATGAATAAGCTGTTGACTAAATATTCAGCTGTCCTTTTCGCTACCTCTCAGTCCTGGGACTTGTAGCTCTGTCCTGTCGTCTTCCCAACCAAAACATTTTCCCTCATTTCTTGTCCTTGCAAGAGAGCCTATCCTGCAGATATCAGCGCCGAATACCGGAGATGAACAAGTCATTTAGCTGTTTGTGGTTTCCACATTAGAGGTCTGGGTCTGATCCAAACAGAAGAGATTCCTTCTATGGGTGGAGAACTCCCCGACCTCTGTAAAGACTTTGGCTTTGTGTCTATGTCAGCATGTTTGTGTGCTTATAAGGAAGCAAGTATGGACAGAATAGGTGGAGGAATGTGTTTGACACCTCGGGCAAGCTTCTACAGTAGCTGGAAAAAGATCACGAATGTGGTGAACCCAAGCAGATGTACACTCGAGTGTGTGGTGTGTGTGTGTGTGTGTGTGTGTGTGTGTGTGCATGCGCGCGCATTTCTGTGTCGGAGGAACAGAGCGAGTTATGAGTTTGTGTTTTGCAGGGTGATCTACCTGCAGGTGAGCATGAATGAGGGCCTCTCCTACATCACCAGCTCCGTTCACATCACGACTACTGAATGTGTGAGTACATGCTGCGTATATAGTCTGCACTATCACGACACACACATGATGATGTTTCCCTCTTGGCATGCTGCCTTATTTGAATAAACTTTTCTTTCAAGCTCCTCATTTTTTCTTGGTTCTCCAGTCCTCTTCTTCTTCTCTCCTGCCTCTCTGAGGTCTCCTCTGTTGTGTCTGTCATCAGAGGAGGCTGTGAGTACTTCCGCTTGACATTTTCACCTTTTTCTCATCTGCCGTCTTTAAATTCAAGTTCCATCTTAATCCTGTCATTCTGTGTTTGTGTGCAGTTCGACGGCACCATCGTGCTAATATCGTTGCTGGTGGTGTTCCTGCTGCTGGCTCTGCTGCTGCTCTGGTGGTTCTGGCCTCTCTGCTGCACTGTGGTAAGTCTGCACTACAGACATTAATGCTTCAGCCTGATAATCAGACTCAATTGCCGTCTCACTTCATTCTATTTGAATTGTTTACACATTTGAGATGAGGGCGATGAATCAGAGGTCTGGGACCAGGCTACACTGAAGTATTTCAGCAGTATTTCATGATTCAAATTTTGTTTCTCAATCTTCAGGTAATCAAAGAACCTCCACCACCTCCACCTCCAGAGCCAGTAAGTAACCTAGCTACATGGACTTTTTTTTGTTACTGTTCATTCTAATCTGAGATCCATACAAGAATAAAGGGACTGAGGCAGGATGACAGATTTTTTAATATAGTAGTATTAGTATTCATAGTGGTATGTTTGGAAGAATATGAGCTGTATCATAGGTGATGTCTCACTCACAGGACTCAGATGATGATGACGGGATGCCAAAGAAGAGGTGGCCCACGGTGGACGCATCTTACTATGGAGGAAGAGGAGTGGGTGGCATCAAACGCATGGAGGTAACGCCACACACACACAGACACACACAGACACACACACACACACTCAGCTTTCAACATTTGCAACACTTAAAAGAATGTATGTTTTAGTTGTGTTTTTTCTCACTTTATCTTTCCTAGGTGCGATGGGGGGAGAAGGGGTCCACTGAGGAAGGCGCTAAGCTGGACAAACCTAAAAATGCAGTTGTAAAGATGCCGGAGCAGGAATTCGAACCTTATGAGCCCAAACCGAGAAAACCGCCCCGCCGCCCCCCACAGCAGAGGAGGTGGTACACACCCATTAAGGTCAGTCTTTTACGTCACTTCCTTTAGAAGTTAAATGCATATTTGAGGTTGTGTTTTTATTCTTCTTACTTGAAAATCCCAATTTTTTTTTTATTGTCTTGTTTTCTTTCTGGGTCGTTCAGGGGAAGCTCGACGCTCTGTGGGCTCTGTTCAGGAGAGGTTACGACCAGGTGTCTCTGATGCGACCACAGCCTGGAGATGAGGTGAGCCTGCCTCTCAACTACAGTCACATTTTTATCTTGACCTAAATCATGACTATAAAATCTGATGTACCAGAAACAGGCATGATGACTGATAGAAAACTATAATTTAGTAATTATGTGTAATTTGGGGGTGGGGGGTGGGATGGGTGGGTGGGTGGCTTTGTGGCTAACAACCACTTTAAGTAGCATGGTACAGAAGGTTTTGGAAAGTGTTTCTTGTCCCTGTTGTGAACAATTGAGCATCTGCATCCGTCTCTCTGTCTTTCACACTGCATACAGACAACACGTGTCAGTGTGCAGCATGTACAGTGCAATCTTCAACACAGCGGCACAGTACTGATTTTCTACACACACACACACACACACACACACACACACACACACACACACACACACACACACATTGAGTCAATGAGCTACTGATACCACACTCTTCGTCAAAGCTGTCATTGTTCACACACAAGGAGTACTGTATCCTCTGTTCTCTTCTCTGTGACTCCTAGGAAATGACTGGGTTTCTATCAAGTTTCCAAATGGCATGTTACACAGTCACTTTCTACTTTCAAGTGATAATTATAGTAAAAGCTTTTCTGATGTCCCTCACTTGTAAGTCACTTTGGATAAAAGCATCTGAGCCAAATAAGTAAAATGTAAATGTAAAAAAACAAACAAACTGCTACTGTGTCAGAAAGGGTTTTTTTTACATGCTTGGTTTCCTGTGAAATTTTTATGTACCGGCCGCCACTGCTGCTTCCGAAGAGTCCTAAATCATGACATCACTGTGTGATGTGTAACCTTGACCCTGTGTTTGACATCCCACAACCCCACAGACATGTTTTCATCATCATACTGGTCGTCATGGTGAAACATCTGGTCTGTTGTAAATGGTTTCATTGTCGCTTTTCATAGCCGAGGCCATATCGCTGTAAAATTTATTGATTTGTTCTTTGAATGGTATGATTCATCATCAGTATGAGTGTGTGTCTACTGTATCTGCAGTCTATAAAAGTGGTCATCATCAATGGTTTTATCCCGTCTTTCCATCTTTTTTATTTATTTATTTTTTCTCTAATTCTAAGCGGAACAATTCATCCCTGTCAGGACAGAAGTTTCTAGAGTCTTTGTCAGACACAGAGCCGCTCAACAATGACCCCCGCATCTCTTTACGCACCATTAACTGAGGAAAATAAAACGCTGCTTCACACATGGAAAGAAATGAGGGGAAAAAAACTCCACTTTTGTTGCAAGGGAGATAGTTGTTCAGAGCTGGTGCTAATAGCCATAACAGACATGAGAGGCGACATTGATTTCTCATCGTTGACAAAAGCCTGGCACAGATCTACATTCTCAAAAGCAAGAAAGTGCAGCTGGATGTCAAACAGCACAGCCGGATTACAAAAAGCCCAACAAGGTGGCAAAAAGCACAGCGATATCTAGCAAGGATCAGACTTCTCAACGCGGATTGTTAACCAGCCGCTCAGGAGGAGCTCGTCCTGCTTTCTCCCCGCATTACTCCCACTTCACTGCCTCTGCAAACGGTCATCAGCGGGCTGCCAGTTTCTGCCACGCTCCCTGTTTGCATTTCACCTCTCCTCTCTGCTGTGTGTGCGTGCGTGCGTGCGTTTGTGTGTCACTGTAACGTGTGTGTCAGCTCTGCCGAGTGAGCGTCACACAAACAGATGGGGAGTTGAAAGGCCACGAGCAATATTGTGACAGAAGAGATTCCCTTCTTTTGTCCCCAGAGCTGATGGCACTGATGGCCCCGTCACACAGTACAGACCAGACCAGAGGGCGGCCGCCATCCCTCCGTCCTCACACACAGACGCCACAAATGAGCACAGCAGCACTTCCCCATCTTCACCCTCCTCTCTCTCTCTAACCGCAATCAGTTCACTTAAAGGATCAGTTCACCCAGATTACAGAAAGAAAACCATATTCTCTGACTTGCCTATACCAAATTTCTTCCACAACCACAATACAGTGGAGGTCCACTTACTCACTTGTTCTGGTGCTTTTGACCGTATCCCACGGTCCTCATTAATATACAAGTTTGCTCCAGTTACAATGGAACCGAGATTTTAACTGAAAAGTTACATTTAAAAAAAAAAAAAGTATTGTATATCAACTGTCACAAAGCGAGTTAGCAGATGAGCTCAGGAGATGGAATAGATTGCTAAAAAATAATGAATGATCACCTGGTGTGTACCACCTTAGATAAACACATTTGGAACACAATGATCCAGCGCAGCAGAACCACTGATACTGGAAAATGTCACTGTTGAGATACTGTCATTTGCAAATGCATTGAGCACCACAAATAGAAGTTTGTTTACCTCCATTGTATTTGGTAAAGAGAAAGAAATCTCAGAAACTGATATCTCAAAAGATAAGTAGATGAGAGCTAAACGATCTCGAATGATCTACACGTGAAAAATGTTTTGTTTTGTTTTTTTTTTTATAATTTGGACTCTCTCCATTTCAAATCTGTTACCCTGGCATTATCTAAGTATTCAGTGAATCACCATATATGTAGTCTAGAAAAACCGTGTTAACACATGGAGCGTTTCCCGTGTGTGAGTGGATCGCCGTAATGTCATGCGAGGTGACAGGCAGAGCTGTCAGGTCAAATGTGCGTCTCCACTCTCTTGTCTTTTCTCCCCTTTTCTTTACTATAAATGGTGACAAATGTGTGCGCGCATCAGTTCCCTGTAAACGGCCACAAACTATCTGCTTTGTGTGTGTGTGTGTGTGTGTGTGTGTGTGTGTGTGCACGCGTTTGTGATGGAAGGGCAAAGTCTTGGGGCTCAGACAGAGAAACAGAGGCTAGACAGAGGAGTGGTGTCAAGGGCGATGCTGGAGGTGTTTAAGGGTTTTGTTTTTCTCCTTAAAAGGAGTTGAGGGTTTGAAGTAAACAATTGCCGAGAGCTGGAAGTAAAACAGTGGCAGACATTACAGCCAAAGGCGGCTCACAGGGAGACTGACCATCACAAGTGACACATTACTGACCTCTCACACAGCTCATCTGCGTACTTAAAAGTGGAAAGATCTCCTGTTTTCCCCCCTTTCTCTGCTGCTCTTCTCAACACCAGGCTTCTGTTTTGTTTTTGTTTTTGTTTTGTTTTTTTGCTGCTCTCTTGCATCCAGCCCCCTAACCCCTCTCTCTCTCTCTCTCTCTCTCTCTCTCTGTTTCTGTTATTCATGAGGCTGAGGTTTCATTCAGGCCATATGCTCTGGTGGAAGCATGCTTACAGTCACACACACACACACACACACACACACATACACACTCATATTCATGAGCTTGTGTTCTCATTGTGTCCATATGCTCGATCTGGTGTTGCGCTGCTGCTCTGCTGCTCACAAACTGGCCTTTTCACCACGACCCGGCGACAAGACCAAAGCAGTCCCCCCCCTCCCCAACTTGGCTTCCCCCAATCAATTACGCACCCCTCATATACAAACACACAATGGCCCCCTAAGTCACAAAGCTACTGCTGCTGGGGTCCTCTTAATGGCCCCTGTGTGACTTTAGGGCCTCTCTGTTTAATAAGGTGTTATAATCAGACCACCAAGGGTCTGTGACACAGAGACCTACTCTCCATCCTTCACAGGCTGACTGAGCAAGACAAGAGTTTGTGTGTGTGTGTGTGTGTGTGTTGTGTGCAGAAGTTTGCTATGCAGGGAACAGAGAGGAAAACCATCAATGAGAACAATAAGAGAAGCGGTCCATTCTCTGCGACTTGTAAATTATGTTAAATGCTGAGGGGCCTCTGTTAACTATTGTGGGTATGTTGAAATCACCCCTTTACATTCCAACAAGTCAAGCACATAAGAGACATAAACCACTTTCTGTTCTGCATCAAGAGAGAGTGAGTCGCAGCAGAGGCTCCTACAGAAGAGGAGGGGAAGTGGGGAAAGCTTCAGACTGCAAGAGCGTGTGTGTGCGCCTGTCTTTGCTAGCATCACAGCTATTGTAGTGCAGGTGTGGACAGAAGCAGCTCTGTGTGTCTCAGACACACATGCCTCTGTCAGTAGAGTTGGGCAAAGCCTCACACAAACCACTCTGGCTGGTGGATCTTAGAAGCTCATTGATTTTTTTTTTTTTTTTTTTTGCACAAAGATGCACTGCATGTTAATCTGTATTTCTGCATTGAAATGATGATGTGTAGCTGTGGTCTGACCTTGTGTGTCTTCCAGGGTCGCTGTATTCGTTTCCAACGGGTCAAAGACGGGGAGTCCGGCCCAAACAACCGGGCTCCTCCTCGCACACATCACTCTCCCTCGCCTCCTCCTCCTCCTTCTCCTCCTCCTTCTCCTCCGCCTGCCGAACAGCGACCTCTGGTCTCCAATTCTGTGCCTCGTACAAAGCCGCCATCGAGAGGGCCCCGCACCACGCCGCCCTCCCGCGCACCCCCTTCCGTGGTCCAGCCCCCTCCGGGTCCACCTCCAACTCGTGCACCCCCGGGGCCTCCGGGACCCCCGCCATCTAGACCCCCACCCAGGCTGTGATGATGAAGAGTTGGCCTCCAATAAACAACTGATACATCAACTCATTCCATAAAAAAAAAAAAAAAAAAAAAACACATCCTCCTTTCACCCCACAGACTCAGACAGCAGAGAGCCATAAACTCTTATAAGCCAGGAGCTCTTACTGAAGCTCTGTGCTTTGTTGCTGGACAGCAAAAAATATTTATCTGATATCAAAATCAGCTACTGAGTTTCATCGATAACATTTTTTTTTTTTTATTAAAAAACACACAAACATTATAGGAAAAACAAGCATGTAGTTACTTGATTAAGCCTGTATGTACAGTATTAGAGGTCATGTTGACTTGAGTGGTAAGAGTAAGTGCAATCCTTGACTGGAAATTCAGCAGAGAGGATTTACGTGTTGTTGAAAGTCAGCTTGTTTGTGTATGAGTGGTGATGATAGATAGACCTGTTTGCTTTGGTTTCTCAGAGAATATTAATGTCGAGCAAGGATGTGGTGATGAATACAGCATGTGGTGAAAGATGATAACAATGTTGTTGATGCTGGCTTTGGTTTTTAAATGTACACTATCTTAAATCACACTGATGCATCATTTTATCTTTTTTGACCAAAGAAACTTTTTTTTTTTTTCTACATTATAGTTAAAATTTAGTGTAAAGGTTCAGTGACCTTATTGCAACTGCAGGGCAGTTTCTTCATATTTTATTTATTGTAATACAGGCCCTGTCTGCATCTGTTTTCTATTTAGTATCAGGTGGGTTTTTAGGTCTTTGAGGAATAGGGAATATCCAGGTGGATATAAGGAAGCGTCCTGGCACAGCATGTGATGTGTTTGTGGTCTTGTTGACACTTTTACGTGGAAGATTGCATTGAGAATTAGTACCTTCAGGGTTCTCCTGTATTCTGCATTTACTGACTGAAATGATCATTTGCATTATTTCTTTTATTAACAACCTTTTGTGACTGTCTTCAATAAAAAAAAGTTTTTTACGTGCTACCTGGCAGTTATTTCTTTCATACTTATTAAAAAGTGTATTTCAGTTGGACTTTTTTGCACAGTCATTATGAATCAGCTTACAGACATATTGGGGTCATTGCAACAGAGACCTTATGGCATATTTATTAGTTAACTGGATATATTACAGGATGCAACATTTGGTGTTCCTCTTTAAGGAGATGTTCTTTAATTAAAGTAATTACACTTCTGTTGCTGTCAGGACTCTACTAATCTATCTGTGACATTTATAGAGGTAGCCTGCAAAATGAATATTAGTCATATTTCTGGAACACATTACTGCTCTGATATAAATCTTTTTGTCACTTGTTTTCCATTTAAACGACCAGTGCACTTGCAGTAATTTCTAAAAACGTGTTTTCACTTTGTCACTATTTGTGTGGAGTAAACAAAAGTAAATTGCATTCATTTAGAATAAAGTCTATAGCACAATTGAGTGTGCAAAGAGTGAAGGGGTCTGAATACTTTTAAGAGCGACTGTATGCACGTGTACAGTATAACCTGATGATGTCAGGTCTGAGAATGTCCTGAATCAGTGCTGGAGGTCTACCCTGCCCTCCTCAGGGACACCGACAGACACGGTGAGCTCAGACACAAAAGAGTGCGATCAGGAGGTCAGTCTGACACTTCATGACTCATTTTACTGCAATCCATCTGAGGAAATGAATCACACGAGGCTTATGGTATGTTCAGTCAGTCTGTACCACAACAACAACCAACAGCTTCTCTCTCTCTCTCTATGTCTGGAAGGAGCTGCACCATGAAAATCTCCCACAGCAGCTGGAGATAACTGCAGGTTGCTGACATGGAAAAGTGGAAAATTTGGATTTTCTTTACTATTCAATCCAAAATCAGCTTTAACGATGTAGTTAAATCAAATTAAAAGCATTCATGAATGCTGTTATTCAGCGTTAACAATTCAGTCTGCAGCGCCCTCAAGAGACCGAATAATGCAATAACAGGCTGATATTACTCCTCCCTCGAGTCTGTCTACATATTCCAACACATACATTTTTTTTTAATGTTATCAGAAGGTGAGAGTTTCATCTGAGGCAAACACTAAGGATTACACTTGAGTGGTTTATTTGACAGACGAATGATTTTCCATTTGATTAGTCAATATCCACCAAGGCAGGAACAACACATTCAATATGTTTATTGTCTCAAACACGCACTCGCACTCGCACACACACACACACACACTCATACACACTTACTGACTGTGGTGAAAGCTGTATGATGTCAACTGGAGCATTTCTTGAGCTCTGATAACAGTTTAAAAACAAACCGGTTTTACCTTCAGGGACAGTCTGTCAGAAACACACACAGACATACACACACATCCAAGGTGTATGTCCATATTTTAGTAAGTGTTTATACGCACGCCATCACACACACACACACACACAACAGATTTAAAGTCCATTGAGTTATACAAGGTATGTGCCTCAGGCCTTCCTCTTTTTCTTCTGCATTTTCTTTCCGGACAGCGCCCCCTTCTGGGCTCCTCTCACCATGCCCTTGAACTGGCCCTGTAGCTTGGCGCGCTTCCTGTGAACACAGAAAATAAAACATGTGAGCGTCTGACATTCTTATATAAATGAATTCCTCTGTCAGAGACGTTTATGGAATTCCACACCGATTTGCTGCTCATACCTGCGATTGAGCTGGGCCTTCTTTAGAGGGATGTACGCGTAAGGATCCAGCTTTCCTTGTTTCTTCACATCTCCTTTTCCTTTCTGGAAGACATAAGATGAACGAACAGACGCTCAGAATTAAGAGTTTCTAACCATCAGCTCCTGCAGTGTGTGTTTCTGTCAGACGCCGTCAGACTCACCTTTGACTTGTAATCCGCTCCGATGTCTTTGCTACCTCCAAGAGGTCTGTGGATACCTGAGCCTCCAGCTGAGTGAGGGGGGAAAAAAAACAAAAAAACAAATGAATATCCTTAGTCTGAATCACAATTCCTCATGGACCAACATGTCATCAGCAAGACGTTTTGCTTTCTGGTAAAACTTTACCTGAAGAACCTGGTGCTAATCATACCTTTATATTTCAATTGGGGCTCAATGTCCATGTCCTCATCAAAGTTGTCGTCTCGGAACTTCCTCTTCTGAGACTTTTTCTGAGGGTGATTAAAAAAACAAAGATGATAAATGAATAAAATAATAACAACAATAATATGTAAGTAAATAAAATGTCTCTACAACAACAAGAAAACTCCATAATTCCTGTGTCACATATGTAAGTACTCACACTCTTGACTCCAGCCTCTTCTAGAATATCTTTCATCTCTCCCTCGTCTGTGGGAACAGTAACAGGTTCACTGTCACAAGCCATTCAGACATAAAGCAATGTACAGGACGGTCGTGGATTCCCCTTACCTTTGTCTTTTACATCCTCCTCTTCGTCTTCTTTAATGATCAGCCGTCCATCTGAGGTCACTTTAAAGCCGTGCTCGACCTTAGCGCTCTTTCTCAGCTCTGGGTTGGTGGCTGAGAAGCAGCAGAAACTCGTGTTAACGCCACTCAACATGCTACGCTTTTTTTTTTTTGGCACATCAACATGCAAGATGGCTGCGACAATGGAGGAAAAGTGAGGAGGCTGTGTTACCTAGCACTCTCTGGGAAACTTTGGGATCCAGGAAGTTGAGCGGGTCATCTTCTTCTCCTTCTTTGAGCCACGCCCGTCCTTTCTGCTGTTTCCCTGCTTTCTTCGGAGCCTTTCCTTCATCCTCTGACAAATCACTGTCTGACTCCGCAAGGATGTCCTCAATACTTGAAAAGGACAGGACAGAACGTTATTAGTGAGGAGAGGGGTAAGTGTAAGAAGGAGGGCGGATCTTTATGTGCGGGAGGGGACGGCGGTCTAACCTTTCACCCTTTGTTTTAGGCGCCTCCTCTTCGCTCTCGGAGTCATCGTGCTGCTCTGTGGCCTGCTTCCGTCTCTTGGTGCGAGCCTCAGCCTTGCGGATGTTTACGAGCACCTTGTGGTGCTCTGCAGGCAGCATGCTCTTCACCAGCTCGAAACTGGGAACACAGCCGGTAATCAGACACGTACGCAAAAATACATGACACCGTAACGCACAGAAGTGACGCAGCTGTGTTGCTAAATTTCTCAGAGGGGACATCTGGTACCGACGAAACAGCCAGTGTAGAGCTGCATGCAAGTGGTGTCTGATTGTATGACGAAAAGAGGTGGGGAAAAAAGTTTAGCGAACGCAGGTCAAATCACAAATGATATAGACACTAAAGAATGAAAATGATGTGGACACGTGGAACCAGCTCTAACCTCTATTCCAAAACAGTTTAAGATGAATCAGCTGCGTTCATCTCGACAAGCAGCTGGTGCCATTACTGCACAAAGCACTCCTTTGTCAATGTCGGAATATGATTAGTTTGCTAACATTATTACTGCTAACATCTCCTTCTAATAAATTCACCACACTGTGCTCTCATCAGCTGCGTTTACGGCAAGTCTGTTTCGGTTAACTGGTAGCAAACAAACTGACATTGTTCAAACCAAAAAGACAAACAGACGCTTCCCTTATGATGAAATATTAGATCCAAATCAAAAACAGCACAGAAATTTATCAATACCGTCAGTTCTTGTGAGAATACGATACATCACCTGAAAGCCATCTGTTATTCAGACGGTATATTACACATCCACATCCGAAGACACAAGCACTTTCTAAATATGATTATGCACAAATTCCATTTAATAAAAAAAATTAGATCTCTTTGTTTTAGTAAAGTGATTTATTGAAGCTGTGGAAGCACCAAAAAAAACAAAAAAAAAAAAACAGGTGGGATGCACCTTTTGAAATAATTGATTTAGAAGATTTGACACCTAAATAAGAGTTTTTAAAAAATTCTGCTGAACTGGACATTGTTTTTATCGTGCATTACTACACAGCACCATGTCTCCCTCAGAGCCACAAGCTGACTGAATGGTGTCCAACAACACTTACCCAAACTTCCTGATGAACTTAGTGAAGATGTTCTTCAGTTTCGTTCTGAAGTGCCTCCTCACATCATCCGTGATGTTCCCCACGCCCTCCATCTGAACACGAGAGTGTAATCTCTGTTACGTGAAGGCACGAATATCTTTAACATTGGACTCCCAGTATCCGGAATGTACAATGCATACCATGACAGTGACATGTGAAGCCAGCGTCTTGGGATCCATGATGAAGAGGATGACCTTGATGAAGCTCAGTGCTGCTTTGACTATCTCCCTCGTACGGGACGACAGCAGCACACAGACATTGTGCAGCAGCTGCTCCATGGTGCTCACCTCTATCGAGTCTGGGAAAGAAAAGGCAGCCAGAGTGAATCCAGTCCGCAAACACAAGCGTTTAAAACACCAACAGGAAGTAGCCGAGAGTCAGCAGGCCTACCTTTGTACTCAAACACTAATCGAGTTAGCGCCAACACTGTACAGGTGATCATGGTGACGGAGCCTGTGAGTCCTGCATACACCAACACCAGATACTGCTCCATGGCATCTGGATCAGAGACAATTTGGATTTTAAACTTTCACAGTTCACTTGTGTCCACACACACACACACACACACACACACACACACACACACACACACACACACACACACACACACACCACACACACACACACACACACACGCGCACACACACACGCACACACACACACACACTAGGACAGGAGGAGAAGTGTGTTACCTTTTGTATTCCCACAAAAGCGAACAAAAGCCTTTCCTATATCCACCAGCAGGTTGTAGGCGTTCTTACGAGCACCGACAGAAACCTCCTTCGTACATATAATCACCTGAAAGAGAGAGAACAAGCTCATGAAAATGATACACACCAGTACTCTCTGTGTTTGTGTGCTTGCCAGCGCGTGTGTGTGTGTGTGTGTGTGTGTATACCTCTGGCAGCAGTGCGGTTATAAAGGTTTTGTGTTCTTCGCCGAGCCTTTTCACGATGTGGCTCAGACACTTCAGTCTCGGCTGAGAAGAAAAAAAAACAAAAAACAAAAACAAACACAAATAGAAGGATTTAATCAGACAGCACTGCGAATCAAGACTTACAACTCCATCTAGTGTCGGTTTATTCTGTTTCTCTCCACACAGCATTTCTCACCCTCTTTGCTGGTGAAGACGCGTTTTTCAGAGTCTCGAGCAGGACGACTTTGAGGGTTTCCAGGTTAGCCACGACAAAAGATCTACACTCATCCCTCTCTCCTCCGCACATCTCCTCCAGCACACGGTACGCCTTCTTCTGCATGCCCGGCTCTTTAGCCTGAAAACACACGAATCAACAGACACAGAATTAACGAGAAGCGCACTTAAGGTTTAATAGGTTTGAAATGAGCACAGCATACACACCCTTACCTCCAAATACGGCCTAATCAGCTCAAAGGTTTTAGTCATGGTGACCTCATCTACAAAGGGAGCCATGGCAACCACAAGGTCCATCATGGACAGGCTGAGGGAGGCAGAAAAAGAGAAGCAAAGAGACAGAGGAGTAAGTGCACTGATATTTTTCCTACTCCAAAATATACAAATCTATATAATAAATGTGTATTCATGTCCTACCGTGTGAACTCATTGGTGTCTGTGCTGCTCAGTCTGTCTGTGGCTTTTTGCAGGAAAGTGCAGCTCATCTGAGGATGATCGTTTTTATTAGTGACACACCAGCACAAGAAATATGGCCTAAGACTGGACAGACAGCCTGATCGAAACTGATCAGTTCAGTATGAAACATGACTAGATGTGGTTTAGGTGTTCAATATCACAGTAACGGCTTATAATACAAAGTTAAATGATGTAAACAGACATAAATAGCTTCATCACATGAACCACATGAGAACATTGTGCAGCAGGATGTCGCTGACCTGCGTTTCGGTGACAGTTAGGTAGACTTTGATGGTGTCCAGGATCGCCATCCTGTAGGTGCCGGACTCTCCAGCTGCAGGCTGCTGGCTGTACACGTTGAAAAGGATGGGCAGGAAGTTCTTTGAGAAGCGGCCCACTTCTGCCTTTTCTTCTTCTGCAGACATAAAGCAGACACAAGTTTTTGGATGGCTTGATTAAACAGAAAAAAAAAAAAAAAACAAAAAGGTAGCTGCAGTAGTTTTATATGTGTTGTCTCCGTCTCTCTGACCATGTGTGTCCTCCCTCCTACCTGTGGAGCAGCTCTTGTTGATGATGGTGCGCAGAGCCTGACACACTATCAGCCTCAGGTCCGGCCGCTCACTGATAGCCATACCAAGTGTGCGGGCGATGCCTTTGTAGGATGCCAGCAGGTCTACGGGACATGTACAGAAGCCAGGGAGCATGGTCCAAATCTGAAATAAATAAATAAATAAATAAATAAATAAATAAAGCGCATAGACACGTCTTAATAACTCATTCTCTGGCTCTTTATAATCAGGCTAATGTGTATTATCAAAGTAAGTCAATTAAGATACCTGAAGCTGTAAAGTCTGGTAGACTTTGGCTTCCAGTTTTTGTCCTGCTTGCTCCAGCTCTTCAGCTACAACACAAGAGAAGAGTCATCAGAGGGAGAAAATCCACAGTCCCAGTCACCTCACCATCAAGTGGAGCAGCACACATGTGGTTTACCTCTCTGCTTGAGTGTGGAGGCCAGAGGGAGGAAATAAGAAGCGAAGAAACCAAGGTGAGTGTTCTTCACATGATCCCGTATGACCGGGACCAGCCAGCTCCGTGGGAACTCCAAGTCATCACTGATGAAGAGAGAGAAAAAAAAAAAAAACACACACTCAGCTAAATCACAACAATGATAAGAGGGCTGCTCCACAGTGTTTGTGCGTCTCTGTGCCTTTACTTGAAGCCGGTGATGTTGAGAGGCACAGCCCCGAGCACCACTTCAGGCCCCATGCTCTCTACAGCTCCTCCTACAGCCAGGTCCAACTCTCCACTGAAGGGGAACTGAGGAGTGGAGCGCAGGTCTGCCAGAGACTGCAGGGACTGTCCAGGACACAACAACACAAAGAGTCAGGCAAACCTTTTCCTTTCTTTACTCACACAGTGACCCGACAGCGTTTTGTGACTCTACCTTGGTCATGATGGGGTGAGCTTGTTTCCCTGCAGCTCGATAAAAGCAGCCAAGGATCTGCAGCACAAACGGCCAGGAGGCATGGAAGCGATAAGACAATCCTTCTTCTATGATGCTGGAGAACACACACACACACACACACACACACACACACAGTTATCATGATGAGCATTTACGTGTAGCCTCTACATAAGAAAATGGAAGAGCGAGATTAGCTTGGAGAAACTTACCGAAACATTTTGCAGACATAAGAGGGATTTCCTGCAGAGGCTGTGGCACTGATGACGCCCATTTCATCCAAGCAAGGGGAAATGCATTCAGTCAACAAAGTCTGGAAAAAATAAATATAAATAAATCATCTATAGACTTCCCTATCTGGGATGTGATTTTACTGATTCAATTACAATCCCAAACAACCCTGAGCCGAGCAATCCCCAACAAATCAGAACTCCTCAATTGACTTGTATGGATGTCGTGAAGATTATTTCTTTACCTTTAGTGTGTTGGTGGCTGCAGAAACCACCTGTGTGTGAGGCGACAACAGGCAGGACATGGCGGCAGAGAAGAGGCGAGGGAGGTGACCCAAACTCAGAGAACTCTGCAAGCTAGACAAACAGACTGCTGATGAGCAAACTGATAACTAATCCGACTGGGAAACACACAATTACGTGACCGCAAGAAAGAATGTTGCAGTTGTGGGAAACTGATCATTACCCCGCCAAATGAATGTGTGCCTTCTCCATGACAGCGAGCCAGGCCAGCAGAGGCTGCAGGTCGTTCTCACTGGGCAGGTAGTCATACAGAGCCTGGGGGGAGAAATGACAATGAGTTTCCCCACCTCATTTTGCGCGACGGCTTTGGCGCACTTGTTTTGTTTGCGTTCTCTCACCGTGATGATCTGTGCGTTGAGTTCCGGTGAGAGCGTCGAAGCGTTGGGCTTCCCGCTGAACAGCTTATGGAAGGCCTGCATAGCACTCGCCGTCACCAGCTACGGCCAGAAACACAGCGGGCTGATTAAAAACTACACATGAGTGTCCGTGTGGATGAACAAAGGGTATCTGGCTGCACCTATGAGCGTGTTTGTGTTCTCACCACATGGCTGAGTGTCATCACTCGCAGCAGAGTCTCACAACAGGACTTGACAGCTCCCAGAGGAAACGTCCCCATCAACTCCTTTAGAAGACCCAGCACATGAAGTGTAGTGGTGTCCTCTTTGCTGCCTGAGGGGTAAAAAAAAAAACAAAAAAAAAGAAAAAAACAGATTAACTACAACTTGCTATTTGTTCACAGAACACCACACGAGTACATACTCAAGCTACACAGATGGATGCATCAGTATGTCAATGACCATGCTGCTTTACCTCCTGCCTGCTCCATTTCTTTGATGCAGAACTTGGCTGTGGTCACTGCAGCAGGGTGATGGGTTGGCGCATTGTCTGTAAACAGGAAGTCACTACCTCTGAGAATGGCGCAAACACCTTGCTGTGCTGCTTTACGGACCTGAGAGAGAAAAAAAAGGCGGACGTGATTTTAGCATCTCGTTCAATTCGGATTTCAACATGTATGACCTGTGAGGATGGTGAGACGGACCTTAGGCTTGCTGTGCACTGTGAAGCTGAGCAGGCCGTGGTAAGCCTGAAGAGTGGACGGATAAGTCCAGACGGATGCATCCTGCTTCCTCAACAAAGTGGCCAGACATGACAGGATCTATAGATGCAAAAAGTTTCAGGTTACATCCCCGTTTATCCAGAATCATATAACATAATGACACATTTGTGTAAAATTTTGTCATAATTGCTGTGTGAATTCGAGTTATGGCAGCAGGTTTTGTGTGGTCACAGTGACCTCGACATTTGACTTTTGAACACCAAAATCTAAACAGTTCATCCTTGAGTCCAAGTGAATGTTTGTGTGAAATTTGAAGGGATTCCCTTACATGGTTACTGAGCTATCGCGTTCAGGAGAGCGGGACGGACATGATGCCAAAATTAACCTTTGCTGCATTTTTCAGCGATGAACAATAAAGCGACAAACAGACGCAAAGACAAAATCTACTCACCCATCTAAGGGCCGAGGCGGTCTCAGATGTGGCCTGTTTGGACATAACATCCATCAGAGCCTTGGTGGTGTCCGAGAACTTGGACATGAGCACCGGAGCAGGAACCCTAGAAAATGCAATACACCAATCAGATGAAAAACATTTCCAGTCATATCTAAATAGTTTTGCATGACTGGGGGTTTTTGTTTTGGAGACAGAATGTGTGTAAGTCCAACCGTTTCATGACGAGGTTGAGGAGGTACGCCACCGCAGCCTGTGACTCTCCTGATTCCACAACCTCCAGGGTGGTCATCTATAAAAAAAAAGCACAGACATGCTTCATTTTCAGACACAACACCTTGGCTCACTGTCAGTTTTCAACACACCACAAGTTATTTGGTAATGTCTTAGTGAACGTATTAAAATAAAAAATAAAAATAAAAATAACAAAAGGCTGCACTCACCAAAGCAGCAAAGTACTCTGTTTCAGTCTCTTTTCCTCCTTGACCTCGGATCACCTCAGTAACAGCTGCCAAAACTGCACAGATCTGTGAGGGACATGAGGTGACAATGTTACAGCAACAGCAGCGCTCAAAACCCATTGGATATATATTTGTTAGTAGGGTTGACGTCCTTGCATCAATTCTAGAAATGTCAAAGAACTTTTCCATGCTATGCTCAAATTTTTTACTTTTGCTCCTAATGCAAAAGGGACATTTCAATATATCAGAACAAGAGTTGGCAAACATTACACACAGCCCACAATTCACAATATCCCATAAAACAATTTGTGAATGCGGTGCTGTGAATAAATGATCTACCTTCAGTGTAATTCCTACCTCTTTGTGAGCAGCTGAATTGGACTCCCAGAAACGCTGCACTTTTCTGAAGGTCAGGTTGGAGCAGTCTGACAGGCCGCTGAGGAAGGTGCCTGAGGTTCTTTCTGATAACGCCTCATCTGGCTCCTCTTCCATGAAGGCATCTTTCCGGCTGCCTGCACTGAGCTCCAGCGGACCTGTCTGCAGCTCATTGTGTAGTTTAAGAGCATCAACTGTTAGATCACCGTTTCCTGTGGGCGAGAGAGAGGAGTTTTACATTAAGATGACTTCCCTGTAGGTCAAATGGAAACAATCCCCAAACCAAAGATTTTAACTTAGTGTGTTCTGGCTTGGGTTAAATTTAAGTATAACACAAACAAGGCATGGAGCAGGAAGCTACAGTCCTGCCTGTGAAATATCTGGACAGAGAGCCTTTCTATTACATTTCTATTATTTCTATTACACATCAGATTTCAAAATAAACAAAGATGAGGAACCTCTGTGCTAATCTGCAGTTTAAGATTTTTTGAAAGCAAGGACCAGATTTAAGTCAATAGGCCACAAACTCAAGGAATAAATGAATATTGTATAGACTCAACACAACTAAATGTGTGTCTCTGGCCAATAGTTCATACTACTTAATTTATACTATTACAGTAAATACAGTTAATTCCCTTGTGTTCCCTATAGGACATCAGCAATAGTTTAAAGACAGGGTTAAATAATGCATCTCTATAGCTCTCACACACACACAAACACACTACTTATTTAAAATCGAAAACTGTTTTGACAGGTTATTTAAACGGACTCAAGGTAAAAGACAGAAAGATGTGAAGTTACATTTTCCACTGACAACGTTACTGGGATTGTTGATACTAATTTTATGGCGCAACAGAGTAAATTGGCCTGTGCTATTAAAAGTTAAATGGCTAACGCTAGCTAACGTTAGCACTAGCCAGAGACCCACGTGTAATGGTAGGCTTACCGGTGGGTCGGCTGAAGAAGCGGCTTTTAGCAGCCTGCCGAAAGCGGCTCGTCTGCGGGTTTGAGTCGCTACTGTGTCCTTTCTTCCACCGTTTGAGTTTCGACCCTGTCCCAGATCGAAGTTTACCCGATTTGACCATTTTCGGGGTTGAAAACAGTCACGTTACCCCGACTGTCTGTGCAGCTGCAGATGACTCAGTCGCTGACAAAGTGACGTCACGGGCGCTCTCACGTGGCTGGCGTTGGTGTTGTTTTGCCGGTAGAGGGCGATGTCCAAGTGCACACAGGACACGGGAATGTAACAAAAACAAACAAACAAACAAACAAACAAAAAACACAACAACAGCTGCTGAACTTAACAGATCCATCTCCATGAGAACTGCGCAGCCATTATCCGCCGATGAAGACTGTGTGATCAGACTGAAAGCTACGGGAAAAAGCCACTAGTGGACTTTGAGTTGGAACTGATTTGTAGAAACTGCAATTTCCAAGGTAAAAGGGTGTTTTAAAAGTAAGCGTTGTGGATGACATCATAACAGCTACTGAGCGTGTATGTCAACTTATCTATTGTCATGACAACTGAGTAAACTGGTGCAACTGACTACTCACCCTACTTCATACTCTGAGTATTATCCTTTGACCCCTTAAAACAGATCAATTTCTGCTTGTGGCATCTCATTGCAGGTCATGGCCATAATGAGATAATGAGCAGTGAGTAGTTTGACAGAAGTTTTCCAGCTTAGGTTGCTTCATTTGAAGGATTCTTAGACAGAGATGTTAGATGCCAGTTTTTCATGAGAAAAAAAATTACAAAATAAGAAAAGTAAGAAAACATACAGTTTTACTTAACAGATATTCTTTCCTATCCCTTAAACCATCTTGTGGTCTACAGATTTATCTTGGTGGGCCTCAACATCCTGTTTGCTAACTTGAAACATTTCTATAGAGACTTGTGGTACCTTAGAATCAGAAAAGCAGACACTGACTTTAACTTTACAATATTTATTGATAAGTTATTGAAGTACAGTGGAGCATCATATTGTACATAAAACTACAGTATCTTGTTTGGGGTGATGAAATAAAAAAAACAAACTCTTATTACCTTTTAGAAATGGGCCTTCATTACATTGTTCTTTCATTATGAACAAACAATTGTGGATTGAAAATGTAGTGTGCACATAGTCACATGACCAAACAACATATGGAAACTGATATTTACATTTTTCTTTTTCTCTGGAGTTTTTTGCCTATTTCTCAAATCGCATGACAGAAATATTGAAAAAAAAAAAAGAGAGAGAATGCATTTCCCTTCTGTGGATCCCCAGGTGAACCATATTCATTTTATCAATAAGCACGAGTACAAACACACATGACAAGGAGGGGAACCCATGTAAACAACAGAGCTGTGAGTTGACAGACAGACACTGGGATGTGCATCTTAGGACTCTACTTTTAGTCTAAAGTGTTTCAGTGCTTTTCAATATTCTTACTTCATTTGGAAAAAGGAAAAATACAAAAAGGAGCAATATAAAAGCAATAATTTCTTATATAAAAATGTACACAAAATTCCACTGCATTACCAACTGGAAAATGGTTTCAAGCCCTACTCCTATTCCTGCAGCCCTCTCCGGCACATCCTTTGTCTCTTCATCACTTCATAGCACATCTGTCTCACTCCTCAGTTAGTTATGACTGAGGGGTTCACATTGACGATCACTTGGACGACAAAGTCCTTCTGGATCTTGGTGTCTTGCAGACGAGTCTTGTCAGTCAGGAGCTTCCCAGAAAAGAACCACCTCTGGCGAATCACGTCGATGTCTTCCTGTTCCTCCAATTGTTTCTTTAGCTCAGCAATGGAATCGGCCATGCTGGCAGTCAGACGCACATCCTTTCCTAGGAAAACCACAAGGCATAAATAGAGTTGACACAGATTTCTGAACAAGCTGTGAGACACTGAAAAGCTATCAATTATAAATTAGTCTCCAGCCTAGATGAGATAAGATGCAATGATATTTCACATGCAAGGGTCAAACTGCATAACATGTAGTTCTTTAAATTTACATGCCATTTCATATGTTATGGTCATACTGGGTGTTTCTTACCTGTTGATAATCGCACCCGCAGCTGGAACTCTTGTCTGCATGGAGGAGGTTGAGCCTGTTTTTGTGTGGATTCAGAGACTTTGCTCTCAGTGGACGTTTCAGTGATGAGGTTGACAGGCGGGGCTAAAGTGTACGCCGGGAGCTGGTAGCGGTTTCCCAGTTCGTCATAACTCTCTGTCAGAGAGCCTGCAGAGGGAGGAATGACCTACATTAGCAACCAGTTTCCAAAAGTGTTTCTATCAATGACAGCAACTAACTTCATCCCTGTTACATAAGCTCTTTCTCCACGCCGATCCATTGTCTATATGGGGAAGTATGAGGCCATCACATTTACATTATGTTTACATCCCATTTACATCCTTGAAGCAGTAAAACGGTTAAAATCAAAAACACTCCTGTGACTCAGTAAATAAATGTGCGTGAGCAGAGTGCTATTTCCACCTAACTATGTCATAGCTTTGTGTGCACCAATCCATTCACAGCGGTCACGCAGCACTGCGACTATTATGTAACTATTACAGCAGTAATCTCTGAACAACTGATGCATGGGATTCTGCAAACTGTCCTTTGACATTTGGGGAATTATTACAGTGAGTTATGCATTTGTGCTGGAAGTTCCAGGACATTTACAGCTTACAATTGATAGCTGGATGAAGCACATTTCCATATCTGAGTGTGTGTGTGTGTGTGTTCATGTGCCTGTGGGTGGTTTCATACCATGTGGCAGAGTAATGCAGGCTCCATCCACTATAGCCTGTGCTAGCTCCAGGTCATTGCACTCTGCAGCCAGGGCCGCTGCTCTGAGTGCGTCCCAGATCTCTTTCCGTCCATCAAAGGCTGGAGCCGTATCCCAAAACTCATCTCTCTTACTCCTCAGCTGGCCCTCCGTCATCGGGTATTCACTCTTCCATTTTGGACGCTCCTTCTTGAGGGGCTCATTACGTCCTTGAAAAAAAGAAGGAAAACAAAAAAAAGACAGCAGTGTTCAATCTGATCTAAAAGGCTGACCTAAGAACGGATGTAAAGACTGTAAGCCACTGTAATCAGGAATATGCGCTGCTAGGCATTTATGCACAGCAACTTTTACTTTTCAAAATGTGCCACATTTGCAGTAACTTTTTGCAGCTAGTTTATCCTAATGGCATAATGGCCGCAGCTAAAACAGCTAAAAGGGATTATAGGTCAGTAAAACCAGGTATCTGGTATCTGGTGAAGCTCTGGGAAACCTGCTTTGTATGTAGGTGGTTGATGGGTTGGCTCAGGTCAAAACTGCTGTGAAAATGACTGAGCTCTTTTCCACTTAGCAAGCATTAGAGCAAGTAATATGTAAATATTTGATTCAGATGTCTTAATAATATATAACCTTAAGCAGAGTCGTGTAAAGATGATGATGGAGCATCATCGAATGTACACCAACTCAATTGTTTTATGAACATGCTAGCTGTCAGTAAATACCAGTGAGGCTCATCTTAAGTCTCCCATACTGATATCTTTGGTAAAAAATAATGCTTGAAAACGAACATGTTCACCCCCTTTCATCTGTGATATTCAACACTTATTCATTTGGTACATGTGCAAGTAAAGCCAATTAGGACTGTGCACGCAGCTGCGCCAACAGCACATAAACCCAAGTCATTTCATACACGTACTGCAGGTGTTTCCATGCTGGCATCTACTTTATACCCACTGTACCAACACAACCAAGAAAGTCAATTTGATTCACAGAGGGAGGAAAATCAAAGTGATTATTTATAGTGCTGTGGATTACTGCAGTGGCTAGTAACGCATACATCTTCACTGACATGCACACACACACACACACACACACACACACACACACAAGCACACAGCAGTGGATTATGGGCAGTAATCAGGTTCCACATAACAGGATTTATCTGCCCCTGTCCCATAAGGCATTGGTTGGAGAGATGAGCACCCTTTGGCCAATGAAAGGCAGCAAAAACACACACACGTCTACCACAGCGAGCACACAAAAATACAAACAGGAAACCACAACACGTCAATTATTACGTCATCGCATTTTCAAACTGTAGCATTTCTGCAAACAATGGCCTTCCTTCTGTCAAACTCAGTATATATTTTTATCTGATTTCTATCTGATGGATATTTCATTGAAACAATATCACACAGTTTCTGCTACTGACTTGGGTATTAGGTGCCATTCCCATCACACAATATACAGATATTTACATGATTTTCTATACCACTGACAGTGCAGGCCACCATATAATGTTAAATGTGACACCATGACATTTGGATTTGGTTTAAGTGTAAAGTATATTTTACACAATTTACACTTTTTCTAATTTAAATGGAATACATTTGTAATGAAAGACTTAGTTTTAATATCAAATCTACATTTGCACACTCCCAAAGCCATAATTACAATATAGCAGAAATCTGGAGACAGTAACTGCTTAAAAAAATTAGACTCTATATTCCTTTGATCTAGCTGCTGTAACATTATTATGCTAATGAACAGTCTATTCGTTTTACTTCTCTTGCACAGACATGGGTGTTTAGAGTTCATGTCTGTTTTTTGTTATTGTGGAAAAAGCATCTGCAAGGTTGGAAAGGAATGCATTAAGATGCCAGCCAGACAAATGCAAATGTTATGGTTGTCTGGAATCCTAACGAGCAACCTGACTGACAGGAGACAGCAAGGTATGCTGAGATAATTCCAAGCTGCACAGATCTGTTGTGATGACAAATCAATTCAAGAAATATCCTTGCAACAGCTACAGACTTAAAAAAAAAAAAAATCACACTTCAGTATTCTTAAAGGACAAAACCTGTTCTCAAGAAAGTGTTAGGTTGGGGGATCAATGGATGATTTTAAGGGAGGAGGTTTTAAAGAATGAACATGTGCCATGGCTCAACATGAAACACACCTTTGCCCCAGGTACATATTGTGACATAATGCCTTATACAAACAATGTTCATTCGCCTCCTTGTTGTTGTAAGTCAGTGAGCCAGACTGTTTGTGTACAGTGGAGTGTGAGCGTAAAGAGAGATCAACTCCGGTGTGACCTCAGCTGTAAGCCCAGGTACCTGGAATATAAGCTTAGCAATTTCAATTGAAGTCAGTGGATCAAGTTTTTTCCCTCAAGCTTAAGCACTATTAGTGAATGGAAGACCTACCCACTACACCTCTACCACTAAAGGAACTGAATGAATTCAAGTCATGTAAATGAAAGTGATAGTTTTGGACTGTTATTATTCATCATCAAAATGATGCCAGTCTCTATGAAAGTACACATTTCAGTAAGAGGTAGCACTGTGGAAATAGTTCATTTTAATATTTGTTTTCTTGTATTTTTAGCCATTTTTCCTTCTTGTTTCTTCATTTTATTTGTTATGGTATTTCGTGTAGAGCTATTAATAAACAGTGATACATACATCCATGAGAAAACCTATCAACCTAAGTACAACAAACAACATCATCAACAGTACAATCTTGAACTCTACACAAAACCTTCTGAGGCAAGTTATGGCACAACAAAGTGAGCTGCACAAACACGAAAACAGAAAACATGAAAGCATTTCTTCCACCCCTGACAAAAATCTATACTTACGTTTCAGCAAAATCCTGAAGGGTGTGTTTGGAGCGTGATAGTAGTTGTATTCCCTAGAGTTTGGCACTCCCATAGCTGTTCTTCCTCTGAGGTTTGATGTGAGTCAAACTACTTCACATCAAAAGTCCTCAATAATGAGCTACAGAGACCAACCCTGAGGAAGAAGCTAGCCTCTGCTGCGTCCAACCAGTCTGCCGCAACACGCTGCACAATTGACGAGACAGCCTGGTATGTGTAGGCTCAGATTCAGAGCTCCGTTAACCGTCGTGACACTTCCCCAGTTGCTTAAAAATGACCACACTCCCTCCACTTATATCCCTTCTAATAACAAACACTCCAAAAGCCAAAAATACAATAGGATCAGTTCATGGAAAGAGGTGCAATATATGGGGAGAGTAAGTTGAGTGTCCTAGCCAGAAGACTTTGCTCAAGAGGCCTAATCCTATCAGCTCTATTTAGAGACAGGATAGAAATACCCAAAGGCAACATGCTAAACCTATTAACAGACAATAAACCCTTGTCAGACTATTACAGTCTGTGTGAAGGAGAAACTACTGTACTTCTGTGAACTGCCCCCCAACAGGTGATTGTTTTCCTGCTATTTAAACAAGTACATGCAAACATGTCTTTCAGATGCTGCGTCCCCACAACTATTTCAGTTCATTAAAGAGCTCTTGTGTCTAAGTAGAAAGTCTGAGACAATGGATATGATCTGAGAAGTCATGTCTGTCTTGCAGGTATATTATCTATTTCTGCATGTAAATATATTTTGCAGCAGGTCGGCATAAGGTCAATCATGCACCAAGTAGGTCAAACTCTGATATGAAAACTCTCTGTGCCGGCCCCTGCTGCTGCTGCTACTGCTGCTGCTTGTGCTGCTCAATACATAATGCATGACAATCTAACGGAGCCCACAGTCGCTCTTTCACAGGCAATGGACTGAACAGTGTTTATATAAAACATTGCCCTCATCAGCGCAGGTCCTCAGCACAGATTAGACACATGACTAAGCCATGGCGCCTGAAACATTTAACACCTGAGACAGTAAGCTTTCAGAGCGAGACAGACGTCCATGCAGCAGGGGCGTAGATCGGAATCACCCTGCATTTCATCGTGAATGCTTGAATTGTTGAGATTGCATCTAATAGCCCACCTGTCTGATGCTATAAGTACTGTATGCCCCCTTTGCACTCTCCTGTACAAGGTGTAAGTAGCTAGTTCCGACAGTGCATCCTGATATCATTATTGTGCGTCTGATGTGCACAGGATGTGTACTGTGTACCACCTGCATTTTTATGCATCAACACAGAAGCAATTTCCCCTCTAACAAAATAATCATTTAATGTAACAGTGCCAGGCCTGCAAGGCTATTAGTAAGCTCTCTCTCAAACTGTAATAGCACTCTCTGCAAAAATACATGTATAGAAACTGTCTCATTCCCACTTTCTTAATTTGAGGACATCATCTCCCAAGCGTGAAGCAGTTCTCTCAGTGCATTCACTAAAATATATGGTTATTTTAACAGATGAGAGGCTGTAATCTGGAGTGTTTCACATTCTCACCTCCACGTTTTTTGCTTCTTGTCGAGCTTCGGGCACTCCCTTGTCCATCCGTCCTACTCCTCCCCACACAGCCTCCCATCACTGTCCCTACATTCCACACCAAGGAGAAAAAGCATCAGTCCGTCTGTATCATATTTGCCATACAGTCGAATACAAATGCTTCTTAATGCATATGTGGTAATGAGGATGAACAAACAGTTAATGATGATGTCAAATTAAGAGCCTCGTATGAAAAGCATCATCAGGGCATGATGACAGCTCAGCAGTCCTTGTTCCTGTGAGGTCAGACCAGCCGCGATGTTTATGTCACGTGTACTGCCAGCTGACGGAGACACGCGCCTGAACCTCATGCCACCCTTGCTCTGATTTTTCATTAACATATATTTATTTTAACATGTGTTCATGCAGCATTACAATTTATGTTATGTGTAATTTAAAATGTGTATTTCCGATGTGATTTGATTGATTTGCAGTCTTATCAGTCACGGGCCTTTTGATATTTCAGTATTTAAATTTTACATTTTTTTTTTTTTTTTTTTTAAAGTGATTCATTTTGCCTACCGGAAATCCAGTCTGCTAAATTATGCATCCGTCTGCAGTTTGCTTGCCACATCCGAACTTGCTTCCAAGTGAAGTTATCACTGGATCCTGACGCGACGATGAGCAGAAGGTGCGAGTCAGCAGGTTGACAGACACAAACTGGGAGCAGTCTGTCCGTACAGGACTCGCGGGCTCTGCAGAGCCTCCAGGAAATCTCAACAGCTTCTCCAAATTAAAAGAAAAACTGAAATCAATGTCCCTATTCCCCCCGAATCATAATGAATGAAGCTCACCCGCACAATCCGTTTCCACTGAGCTAGAACTAAATCCTTGTCAGTCTGCACGCATGCGCATCTTAGACCAATTATCTATCTTTCGTCACTTTCACCAGAATAAGAGCGGAAGCTGTTACTCCTTCACAATAATAGTACCGATTGTAATTAACCATTCAGTTTGCAAACAAGCAGAATATTAAAATAGGATCACTGAAAACATCAGTATTTACGATAAACATGTTTTTCAAAAATGTAAAATCAATGTTAGGAGTTACTGCGCAATATACATTTGTATTCTTTAACGAGGGTTTTGGTTTGAAGTGTAGGGCGGAAATTGTTGGGTTTTTTGTTGTTGTTGTTGTTATGGTCACTTGATGTTTCTCCAGAGCCAAAGAAGGCTACATCTTAACATGATCTTATCCCTTTTCATAAAATCTGGCATTTGCAATAAAACACACACCTGAACTTTTATATACCTTAGAAATTAAGAAATCGGATTTTGCTGGTGTTCCTCAAAAACCAAATATTGAGCAAAAAGTTTGACTTCTTTAAAGTCATTACCTATTTGGAATAAACCTGTGTGGAACCAGCATAATATACTGCAACCTACAAACATGTCAGTTCAATAAGTTTACTATCTATCTAACTAGCAAGTTCAAATTTGTACTGGATTATGTTTTATCTTTTTCTGAGAACAGGGTAATCCTGCTTGATTTAATCTTGGCAGAAAAATTCAGTTAACTCTATATTGATTATCCATTGAAGGAAAGCAACATCATATATACATATATCATAGTGTATGCAAGTAAGGGTAAAAACAGAAACAGCTAACACTACAACTAAGCTCAGGTGCCTGATAAGGATGAGGGTTAGCCTTTGCCTTTGGAACAACTTCAGCCTTCCACAGAGCAAAGTCACATGTAAGTCCTGAAGAGAGCATGTGTGCTTGTGTGTGTGTGCTTGTGTGTGCTTGTGTGTGTGTGTGTGTGTGTGTGTGTTTGTGTGTGTATGTGTGTAAAATACTTCATTATTCCTCATGAAGTCAAGCATCCTAATGGGTTAATGTAAGAAAAATGTACTTGGAATAAATAAAAATGAGATGAAAGGTCATGAAAGCATGCCTTCACGAAAACAGTGAATTTGTTCACGAGTGTGTATAAAGGAGTCTTACCATCTTGGAATAAGAGCACATAATGAAGTTATGGACACACTTGCACCACACTGAGGTATAATCAATTATCCTAAGCCATTTCTGACCAAACTTGACATGTCAAACACTGACATCTGCTGGAAGATTGAATATTGACAGGTGTGTGTGTATGTGTGTACTCTGTGTCAGATAGAGTGGGCGGGTGTGATGACCAGGGTGAGAGGGTTGGAATCAGACTGAAATCTGTTATCATCCTTTAATCTCTTCTCTTTATATGACAACCTTTCTTTTACATTTTCCTCTGAACTGACAATACCGGCACCCACTCTCTAACTGCCATTTTATCAAATATTTATCCCATTCCTTTCTACAACATACCTTACACATCATTTCATGCCAGCGAGATTTTGCTCAAACGCCCAATATGTCATTCAGAATGTAACCTTTCATACGCATCTCAGTTTACGCTCCTCTACTAGTAGCATGTCTCTGGGTCTGTCTGTGTAAGTAACATTGTGACATAACACAGGAGATGGAGCAAAAAACCTAATCCAGATGTGTAGGCATTGATGCCTACTTTAGAATTTCCAGAGTGAAAATGTTTCCTTTTAAGTTTGCTGTACAAAAATGAAATCTGTGTATGTGTAATAATAATGTGTGTCTTTAGTTATAAGTAAATACTGACAGCATAAATTTAAATAAAGCAAGTTAAAAAGATTTATTAACTTAACAGGTACAAAATACAGATAAATAACACATTTACATGATAATGTAGTGTTCCTTGAAAGTTCTAATTAAATGATAATATTGGACTGGAAAGTGCAAATGGTATACCAAGTATGGAAGTGGAGGTGTTGAGATGAACCATTTTGTCCAAAAACTTTTTGGCTTTTTTTTTTTTTTTAGTTTTAGTTTTTTAGACAAATGTCAGCTTGGGCAGAACAAGCAGAGATTGTCTGTTTCAAAAAAGAAAAGATTATTTTACAGGTACTTTAGTCCAATGATATGTCAGTCAGTACTTGAGGCTTGTAAAAATATCAAACCCATCGATAGCACAATGCTCATAGTCAAGAAAGACCAGTTTGTTAGTAAAACCCAGTAGAGAACAACTCATCCATGACACACTGCCTCTTCACTGCTGAAAAATGTAGACCATCAACCGCGAGCAATGCCACAGCAAGTTTTTGAGGTATTGGAGGTTGACACGACTCCAGTTGTATGGAGCTACCACGCAGGGATCCTTTAAGCCAACCAGATCAAATGACCAGAGGAGGTCGGACACAGAAAAGACTGCCGAAAGCAGGCTACAAGGATGCCTATGTAGAGTCTGTCATACAGGTATCAAGTCCTTTTTAACCGGGAAGATGTCCCACGTCAACCCATCACCGTACGGGGCATGTCCAGAGGGAAGGAGAACACGCGTCACCCAGTGACTACAGACAAAAGATAGAGCAACAAAGATCAACGGAGGTGACAAGAAGTACAAGGTTGTACTGGTCATAGATGATGCATGGCAACCTTAACAGAAAATCTCTACAAACATCAGAGACACACACCTTCTCTTCTCCACACCAAGGAAGATCTTCCAATTATTCAGCCTGCCATAGTTGAAAGGGTTTCTGTATACCTGGCAGAGCAGTGAAAGAATAGGACAAGAGGTCATTAAAAACTCATTATAGGTTTCTACCATTCAAACCAAAATGAACAAATTTCCTTTAATTGAGGGTTTGTGACTCATCATAAAGAATACCATGCAACTTATCACAACCTGAATTATTTTAACATGTAATTATCTATGCTCACCTTTCCCCATTTTGCCATTCGCTTTGTTTCTTTGCCATTAATGTGTCTTTCTATGCTGGTCTCTCCTCTGGATATGAGAACCGCATGCCAAATGGTCAGTGCTCCCAGTGCCACTCCCACTGTGCTGAGAGAAGAGAACACACTTCATTTGATCTGCTGCCAAGGCAATAAAAGACAACAACCGTGCCCCAGTTCTACATGACATACTGACGGTTAACAGTATGTGATTTACAGGAGTTGTAGGAAGAGTATGAAAGAAATCAATATACTTTAATGTTTTGTACTAACAGGAAGTGATAAAAGTCCTATCAAACAAATTGCAAACTTGATTTTATTTCTTATAAATGGCAAGGGACAACATGAAATGCATATTTTACCTGGTAAGCACCCACATGTAGATGATACTCTTATTAATCATCTTATCCTTAAACGTGTATGGTGGTGCAGATGTCTGATAGTTGGTCTTGACAAAAATAAAAAGAGCAAATATTATAAAACTAATCGATAAACAAGATACGATTAATGATGCTATTCTGTGAGAATTTTGAGACTATACCTGGCCAGGGGGGAGAAGCCCTATAAGAAGTGCCATCCCTGTTACCGGTACCCCTGGCTTGTCCATATCCAAATGCTTAAAGCGCTAATGGAACAGCCCGATTACACAAACCCGAGTGTTAAAGACAGAAACAAGCCAGTGTCAGTAAGGAACAGTTAAGCCCCTCAGAGAAGGACACCAGACATGGAGGAAAAGTAACAGACAACCTAACAAGCCTTAGAAGGGCAGAACACCAAGCAGGCCTACAGACAACTGCAGTCCAGTGTGGTGTAAGTCTGAGCATCTCACCTCAATAGCATTGTATGCATCTAGGAACAGGTTTCTGCCACTGATGCTACAATAAACACAGCCCAAGGTCATGAAGAGACAGAAGGAGAAGAAGTAACGGTGGTTAAAATGGCCCACGCAGTTATTCAACCACGCTGAGATGCAGTCATTAAGGTAAACCACCATGTCTTCATAGTCACATTATATGATTTCTGATACTACAAATATAATGTTAGCACAAAGGATACGACAATGATGGTCCATCTTCAGAATGCACCTGGGAAAGAAGAAGAGAATATTCAGTCTGATGCTTATATAGACAATTCTGCAAAGATTTTCCTTACTTAACACAAGGCTATCATACGGTAAATGTATGTGGAGCCCACCACCCGAGGGTTCTGGTGGTAGGCCTGGTTCTCGAGCCAGGCCTAGTGTAAGTCCATTATTCCACTAAGCAATTGATAGGAACCTTTTTTTCCAACAATTTCCCTTTGGTGGTCAAAAAAATATATAAATGGTCCAAATGAGGTAGCTAGCAAAACAATGTGATACTCCACAGATAAACCACTTAACTAAAGAAATAACAGAACAGAACAGAACAAAAATGACACTGACTCACCTGTTACAGATGCCACAGTGGTGTGTTCTTGCTGGTTTGGCTATGATGCATTTTTTGCAGACTGACACAAATGGAGTGTCATTTTTTTCCTGTTTGAATGAAGACATTTTTGTTGCATTACTAAATGTAAGTTTTATTCGAGCCCAGATTAGTCATGTCATTTGTAAACTGCACTGCAGAAAAGTGGATGTCTTACTGTCGGGGGATACCCAGGGGAGGTTTTGGCGGCTTTGTAGTAATGGAAAGCGATCATGATGAGGTTCCAGTGTCCATAACATACGTGCCAAGCAATCCATGCAGGGGAGTAAGTGTTGAGGACCAGGGGCAGTAGGACCACGTAGGCTATCACCACGATGGAGCTGGTCAGTATCACCACCAGACAAACGAACACCTTCCAGACAAAGACATTCAATATCCACAGAGAGCTTTGTTCAGAGAAAAACATAAAAACTCCCTGTAACTAATTAAATGAGCAAACAAACAAACACACACTCACCGTGCCAAACCAGCGGGTGACATAGTCCACAGTCCAAAACACTGGTTCAAAGACTGAGTCGAAAACCACATCTGAGTCAGTGAGGGAGTTAAAGTAAAGTGACTGCACCAGCAGTCTCATGTAACACCATGTTTCCCTAATCCACAGAGGCAGCCTGTTCCTCCCTCTCCTGATACATGACCGTGACCGCACACAGCGCAGCAGGTGGAGCATAGAGCTGGGACAACACCGCATCCTGCATCTGTGACAGGTGCACACCTGCAAAGAAAATAAGCAATCAACAGTAGACTCTCACAGTCTCACAGTTAACAATTATCACATAATCTGCTAATTATTTTCTCAATGAATCAATTGTTGGGTCAATAAAATATACAACAGTAAAAATGTCCATTTCAATTCTGTCAAGCCAAAGGTAAAGATATTCAGTTTATTATCACTTCAGTCACAGAAAGGCAGCACATCAATATAAATGGGTGGCTGTAAACAGACAGCATTAGGCATTTTAGCTTGAAAAACAACTTTCAATTCACTAATCCTCCTTCCTTTCAGCTGTAATCCAGTGTATTATATTAAACTTACCATATGCCGTATTTGAGAGCCCGTCAATTTGGGTTTTTTTTGCCTGTTAAGTTGATTATACAACTCCTGTCTGTGCCAGTTGACACTTAAACTTTATCAGGTACAGAAGCCAGAGCATTTGTAGGTGTATAAACCAGAAATACAGAGGAGTGTAGAAAATGGGCTGGCTCATGGGTTTATGGCATATGCTTAAAGTCTAGAAAGAGACAGCAATCTTGCTTTGCTGCATTCCAGACAGGGTGGAGCCTGGGTGGAGGTTTTAGTTAGTAGCTACCTCAGGTTAGAGGGGCAGTGGTCAGGAGTGGAGTTGACTTTTGTGATCAGTATCATTCAGCTTCACTTTATCAGACATTGATAGGTTATTCACAGACCAGTACAGGACATTTAGCTATAGCTGTCGCCTCACGAAAGACCTAACAATTTAATTGTGCATAAAACACAGTGCTTTGAATAGTCTCACAGAAACCTAACGCTTCCAAATCCCTTTTGTTTGGATGTCATACAGTGTTTTCCTACTCAAACATCCGACGCTGTAGGCTGCGGCTCATATTCTGATATATAATAACATTTCAGATTTATGTTAGGGAATACTCACTGTTCTATAAAAGCAAAAACACTGCCGGGAGCGGCCCTCCCGTCGACATTTTCAAAAGGAAGGCAAAAACGGGATTATTGCCACATATTAGCGTAGAACAGCAGCATCTGGGATCTTCTGTGACAGTTAACAGATCTGAATCCTGATCCGGAATTAGTGCGCATGCGCCAGAGGAGCGGCGAAAGGCACCATGGTAGTCAGAGTCAGGAATCAATTTGAACGTTTCAGATATGGATGGTTTACACTCATGTGCCCACGTATGAGGTGTTATAAGGCTCTAAACTTAATCTCACTTTAACGGATTTGTACCGGTTACTTTAATTCTTTAACAGAAATATAACAACCTGGGAGTCGGCGGCTATGGTTCTCGGAATTGTGGGATTTGTAGTTCTTAGACGCTCCTGCTAAGCTACACTTGCACGCCAGTGTGCTTGCCATGTGGAACCTGTAGTAAACGGTGATACCAACTTTCCAACCTCAACCTAACCGTGTGCGGTGTTGTTAGTCACCATGTCATTTTGTTTTAACTTCGACGTCCCAGCACAAACAATAAAACCGGACGACGTGGATGGAAATGGGCTGAAAAACGTAAAGAAAGACTATGCTGCTACATCTGTGAGTAACGTCAGTTCACTTTTAATGTGGTTAAAGTTAAATTATCCAAAGGACTCAGGGCTGTCAGTTTTCTCAGACCTGGGACTTCTGCAAACATGCATCTATTATTAAATGAAAGTATGTGCGTTTGCAGTGGCGTGTATAACTTTATGAGGCGGGGACTGTGAGGGGAAGAACAGGCCCCTTGGTAAGGCTTTAAAGGCTAAGACCTGACTTTTAATTTAGTAATAGCTTTATTATTGAAGGAACAACAACACTGCATTCCTATGTATTACAATGCAAAAGTAAGCTAAGGATAGCAGCAACACAAACAGAGCAAAATAATAAGATTATACGTAGATAATTGCATTTGGAAATTGTGCATAAGGTTCCATTCAAGTGATTTTTAACCCTGTCTATAAACTAGATTACATAAAAAATCAAATTAAAAAAGAATAGAGATGACAGAAAAACAACAACAACAACAATCTGGTCAACTGACAGAGGACTTGATACAGTTTCTAGACTGGATGGTGTGTAAGTGAAAACACCCATTAAAAGAGAGAAAGGTAATTCTTAAATTACATTATTAAGTAAGCTTAGGAAACTTCCTGGATTTTAATTTTATATGATTTAATGTGGTATTTGCCCAAAATGGATAATGTAACTTTTCAGATATATTTTGTTTGATATTTAATTTATTTTCCAGACTTGAGTTTAGAAAATCAAAGGACAGGGTAGAAGTGATTTGTCTAACGATAAATATAGACCTGTCTTCTGCTTCATTAGATGCAGGAAAAGTCAAAATATTTTGTGTTGCCTCTTGAATGGAGCACACAGGAAAACCAGAGAGTCACACACATACACACACACACACACACACACACACACACACTCACTCACTCACTCTATTCATATATACATAGTTCCATTGTGTGAGTAATTCCATCACAGTTAATCAACAATGAAAAGTCTTCAGCTAATTATGCTACTTCTTGAGTGTGTAGGTTGACAGACTCGGAGTGTTGACGTCACGAGAGCAGTGGCATGTCAATAAAGAGTCACTGTGGAAATCATACAAGTCCATACTGAGTTGTTATTGTTATGTCTCACCGCAAAGTTCAGTAGTTATCAAACCTCCAAAAACTTGTTTAACATTACCATTAGTTGTATTGGTTAGTAAGAATTAATAGTAAGTTAGGAAAGTACGTTAGTATGAGAAGTTACATGTTAAGTGACAGCTTTAATATTTTATTTTAATTGTTTTATTGAAATATGAACAGTGTTCATTTCGTGTTTTACATTTCTTAACTAAATTCCTATGAGGACCCAAAGGCACCATAATAATTTAAATCTGAAAAAATGCTGCGAGATATCTTTACTGTCAAATGTGCCTCAAGCCATAATACTTTCAATTTGAAACACGTGTCGTCTATGTAGCTCCTTTGTTACACAGTCATACATTCACGCAGAGCCCTCAGACACGTACGCAGCTGAGGGAAAACATTTGTTCCCTAACCATGCGCATGCTTTGTATTTTTCAGAAGCAGGATGATACCGAACCAGCTGAGCCACTAAAGGAGGCCAAAGAGCACCTTCCACCATCTGACCCACAGTTCCTCCTTATGGATGCTGTCTCTGAAACGGTTACCATTGGAGCTCTTCCCCCTCTCCACTTCCTCAATGAGACTGTTTTTGAGAAGACGGCCTCGGAAAGAGAGGATGTTGAGAAAATTCTCTCTCGCACTGCGGAGCAGAGATCTGATCTCATCCCTGGCGTGTACGAGGGAGGGCTGAAGGTGTGGGAGTGCACGTACGACCTTCTGGAGCTCATTGAGAAAGATGGAGAGACCTTTGGGGGGAAGGCAGTTTTAGATTTGGGCTGCGGTGCGGGGCTGTTGGGGATATTGGCTCTGAAGAGAGGAGCCAGAAACATCCACTTCCAAGATTATAACAGTACAGTTATTGAACAGCTCACAGTGCCAAATGTAATACTAAACTGCCAAGAGGATGATGACATAGAGAATGAAGATGACAAAGAAAGGAGGGGCAAGGGAAAAATACAAGAGGAAGATGGTTGTAAAAAGCAGTTGGAAGAGAAGCAAGAGGTAAAAGACGGCAGTCCATCTCCAAAGAAAAGAGCCGTGGACCTATCCCAGCATCCATTACTAGCTAAGTGTCGTTTTTTCTCTGGTGACTGGAGCACATTTCCTGCTGTGGTTCAAAAGACGGGCCAGCAACCCAAATATGATATAATACTCACCTCAGAGACGATCTACAACACGGCTTACTACCCTGCCCTCCATGATACCCTCCACAAACTGCTGGCACCAGATGGACTGGTCTACCTTGCCACCAAATCCCACTACTTTGGTGTTGGCGGCGGACTGCACCTGTTTGAGACTTTTGTGGAGCAGAGGGGTACTTTCTCTGTGGAGCACCTGTGGGATGGGGATGAAGGACTTCAGAGACATGTCGTAGTCCTACGTTTTAAAATGCCAAAGGACTGAGAGGGACTCTTGTGCTCTGTTAAAAGGGATTTTATTTCAGGAAAATAAAAATGATCCGGTTTGTGTTTTAGTCTTCTATATGAAGCCTGGATTGGCTCCAGCCCCCCATGATCTTCAAAGGATAAGCAGTGTAGCTAATGGATAGATGGATATATGAAACTTGTATAATGTATGTTAAGGCAACAGTGACAAAACAAGGAATAGCTGTAATAAAAAATGCTGTCTCATCTCCTATGTGCTCTTTGGTCACCTACACCTTCTCTCACTTCCTATATAGTAATTTGAATATGTCTGCCAGTAACTGAAGTACAGTTGAAAGTGGCTGTTACAGGTCTTTAGATGCATGGTGAGGAAAGAAAGGAAATGGGCTCAGTGACCTTTGCGAATGATTTCCCCAGTGTTCAAACAGCAGCATGAAAGCCAGGCTTGTTTCTGAAGTTCGGCGCAAAATGTCAATTGCAACTTATCCCACCAGCCCAAGGATGTAGTTTGAAAGTGGATTCTAGAGTCACTGCACATCAATGATGGGACTCTATGGGGTCTCTGTACCTCTTATTCTAGTAATGGTTCCTCCTGTTCCTTTCGGTTTTTACCTTAATTTAAATTTAGTTCATGATCTTAAGTGTTGCAAAACAAAAACCTCATGACACATTATTAGTATATACTACATCCTGGAAATACTTGCAAAAAATGCATCCAAGTACAAGAAGGGAACTAAGCTGTAATTTCTCCAAAACGATGAGGAATCCCCTTTTCATTCCAATCAAGAAAAGCCATTGAATTAATCTGACAGGACTTTTTTTTATGAGGAAGTATGCATCAGGTTCAGGCAAGTTTCTTGCATTTGAGGTGACTAGGTGAAGAGAATGAGGAAATCACAGGGTTTTTTACATGGTGACTGAACAGTGAGACTGAATATCAGTCTGCCCGCTCTTTTAAAAGTAGTGGGTTTTTACCCTGCTGACCTCATTTTGTCACATGCATCTGAGTGAGGTCAGTAAGTGTCACATCCTGGTCATGTTTGACTATGACCAGAGAGCATACAAAGTTATTTTTAGGAAGACAGTGTTATTGATAAACACCCCCTATCAGACATCACCTGAATAATGACTCCAGCTACACAAATATTCACATTAATTGACCTCATCCTGAACATGCCCATGACGCAAGTAGTATACACTGCTGTGCCGATAAATAATATTTAACAAAGATAAAACTGTTTTCTAGGAAACATGGTGTCACCAGCTCAAACATGACTGTGCATTTCAACACCCACACTGTGGGGACAGAATTTCCAATTGCATGTTAATATACTGTAGTGTTAAATGCTATTTCACTGTTACATTCATAACCAAACTAACCTAACCCAGTTTCTGTTTGCATATGCCTGGCCAGCAAACTTCCAGTGTGCCCACTTCGTCATCGTCTCTCATCTCGACAGCTGTTCATGGCCTGTGGGGGAATTCCTGGTTCCTCGAGTAGACACAGCCTTTCCCCTGCTTACTTTATGGGAACAGGGGGCAGGGCTAGTCAGATGGTTTTCCTCAGAAACTATTATGTGTTGATTCACTGTGAGGGGGCGTGCTGTTCACTCCCACTGTTTCCTTCTTACTGGGAAGTGACTCTCAGGCTTACCGTACAGAGGGAGTGTATGAAAAACAGATAGAGAGGAGGGAGGGAGGCTGATGGGTGATGTGAAAGGTGGTGGTATTTAAGGTTCTTTGCTCTGAATGTCAGACATTATGTAGTATCCTTCCTTGGAACAACTTGGAGGACATGGGAGAGCGAGCAGAACATGCAGGTGAACAGGGGAGAGATGGCTAACTGTATCTTCATTCGGCCTTGGAAAGACTTGCTGCTGATTCAACGCTAAAACATACTTTTGTTGAGATGGGACTGCTGAAGCGTGTTCAGAGCTCGACTCTGAAAGAGCACAGCCCTGGGAGGCCTTTATGAGGAAATGTATTTCTAATGTATCAAAGATCTGGAAGGAAAATCTTCAGTGAATGACTGGGGTAGGTATATCGGTAGAAAACTTTTTCAAACTGGTCAGATCATGGGCACATTTTATTTAAAACTACAAGCTACAAACCTTCAACATGTTTTAAGTTGTGAAATTTTTTTTTGAAAGAGGTAGAAGCTCTTACAAAGAAACACCAACTTCCACATTTTCTGAGCACAAGCAGATAAAGAGTGTTAATGTCATACTGTCATACTATGTTAGCCAATTTAGTGTTTGAATGAGAGCTGTTTCACTGAGTGCAGGCTGTAAGACTGGGTTAGTGTCCTCATGGGGGATTTTTTAGTCTGGATTGTCTAGTAACAGGCAAAAGAACTGGTTGTTTCCCAATCCAACTGCCAGAAAGATAGGAGTTTCCTGAATGTGTTCAGGTGTGGCCTTCCTCAGATCATTGTGCTCTACTGCGTGTATCCTAAAAGAATGTACACCCAAACTGAATAACCCACAGTGACTGAGATAACATTGAGGAGTTATCACACTCTACTGTCACTGTCAATATTAACTCCAGGCCTTGAAAGGAGAGGTTTTTATAGATGACGGAAGAGATCCTGTAATTCAGTGGACAAGAGTTAATATCAAACTTACTTTGGACGGTTTGAATACACCAATTGACCAACAGTATGTCAGTAATCTCACTGTCCCAAAGTTCTTCTCATGGGAGTGTACTGCAATAACTGATGAGTCATTTCATGTCTTGACCGAAGAGCACTATCACCACCATCTGATTCAGAGCTTGCATCAGCCCAGTGGACAGACTTTTATTTCAGTGGTTGTGAAGCATTTCCAGGAACACTTAGGCTAAGAAGATGGTTGGATTCCACAGATGACCCTGAAACTCTACATAGGCTCTGTCTAACCACAGAATTGGATCCATTCAATCACAACTGCATTCTGGAGGTTTGTTTTCCATGGTGGTTTTATTTCACTTACAATAAAACACCCCTAAATCTGGTGCCAATTTATGAAAAAGTATATATTTGAAATTATATATTGCACAATTGCATTACGCAAAAGCCAGCCATTATTAATTGCTGTTTAAGATCAACTTTAGTTGGCACTGTACTGACTTCTTGCACAATCTTCTGATGAAAGAAGTAGGGCTGATGATATCACCTCATCATTACCCTGCTTTTCTTTAGAAATAGGTATGGTCATGTGGGACTTAACCTCTACTTTTTTGTTGAATTTCTATAGTTTTTATGTTACTGGTTATAGACTATATGGTTAGATTATAGACTTTATTTTGGTTTTATCTCATTAATACGTAGGCAATAAGCTGAAAAGTTGACAAGAGTATAAAGAGGCCTGAGCTGAGTCAAAGGATTATAAACCATTCATTGATCAAGAGGCTTCACGAGGACCACATTTTGATAAGTGCTCTACTATGAGAACTGAATTCCATAGATGGGGGCATCTTCAGGTGTCATCTATGGGCTCAGTTCTTTTGGCATGGTACTGGTTTGTCAGCCTTACTGCACAGCACTAAAGCGTGGGTTTACGGTTGATTACTTTTTGTTTGTATATGTTTGTGTATGTTGTTTGAGTAAATATATATATATATATATATATATATATGTTAACTGTCTTGAAGTGATGCATAAGAAGTTCATTTGAAATTGTGTCTAATATTACTGTGAGTAAAATAAACACATTTCTAAATTATGGATCAGAGTTTATCAAAGTTAATGTTAAACATATTGTATTTTGTTAATAAAGTAAATCAAAGTGAATTATTTGAATTATTTTCTTTTGTAATTTATTAACTCTCATAACATTTTGTTTGAGTTTTAAAATATTGCAACATTTAGGTTATAGATTTCACAAGAATACAAGGCAAGGGCTGCCATGCTTCATACATGTGGACCTCTTTTATAACTGCAGTTCTTATCTAGTTCCATGAAATCTGCAGTCATGGTAATGGCAGTTAGCTAGATTATCTATAAATAATATGATCCAATACCACAGCTGATGTCCTTTTCAATTACAACATCGCTGAAGAAGGGGTATGAGGAACCTAACAAAATTTCCAGCTAAAACTACTCAAGTATAAAACAGCATATATCGGTGTTAAGGAGAAGTAGACTCAAGGTAAAAGTAGACCAGTGCTAGTTTAAAGCAGTTATTTTAAGGTACCTGTAGTGTCTCAGTCATTCTGGGATATGCTGTTCACACTACACACAACCTTTCTGACGACCTCTGTTAGCACCATGACTGGACTATACACCCTTTCCATTCTCCCACCAAGAAAGTTTTCCCTCAGTCCAAACCCTGTTCTGGCGTTGAAGCCATAGTGGTCGGGGTGGAAATTAAGCCGCAGGGACCAAAGATGCCAGATTTGCACACATCTACCACATGGGTTGAACAGCAACACAAGAGAGGGCTCACAGTGGTTTTATTATTCACCCTCATGGTTGAATCTTAAAATTGTGGCCTCCAGATATGGCAGTGTATAATGTGTGGTGGTGATCAGCAGAAAAGGGCAGCCGGTATTGTCCCACTGCAATGGAAACATTGCTCTGCTGTAGCATGTAGCAAAGTAATATGTATGAGGAAATCAAAGCATAAAGAGGAAATGTGTGAAGAATGGACAACACCCTGATACCATCCAGGCAGGTCTAAATTATCTTTGCCTTGCATGAAAAAAACCTGTTGGCTGATTAAAAAAAAAAAAAAAAAAAGGAAAAAGAAAAAACTACTACATTCAGCATTACGGAGGAGATGGCAATACCATAATTATCTTTTATGAGGGAAGTAATAAAAAACACCCTCAGGTCCCTCAGCTCAGCATGTTGTTGTTAGTTTTTTTTATTGATGTGTCTGCTGATATATATTTCCATTTTTCTGAGATTTTCTGAGACATTTACATTTGATTGAACAAATTGGCATCCATTTCCTGTTATCACTCACGTGGGATACAATAAGGCCTCTGTCATGTAGCCCAAAGATTACAGTATTCAGGCAGCAGAAAAACAAGTGGGGTAAATCTAAATCTTGATAATGTTCAATGAATAGCCCCAGCAGACAAGCACTCTCCCACCAACATTACAGATATTCTAGATTCTAGTTCTATATAAATTAGTTTAATGCAGGATTTTTATTCAAAATATAAACTACACAGCAAACTAATTTACAGCATAGTGGAAAGACCAATAATCCAGCCACTGCACACTGGCCAAAGGCTATGACGTCTTCAAATTAATGATGTTTCTCTGACAGGTTTGACTGAAACCTTTAAGAAACCCTTGCTACACTTGCTTCAGAATGAAATATTTACTTGACGTTTTCTTTGCTGATTATGATGTTTATTGGATCATTATTTGCAACTGCATGATATAATATATAATCGTATAGGCTCGCAATTGCCATTTTTATGTGTGATGAATACTTTAGATAAGCTACTTTAAGTACATTTTGCCATTTTGTCTACTACTGGGCAACTGGAGTAAAATTTTGAATGCAGGATTTAAGTGAAGTATTTATACATTTTAGAATTGTTGCTTATACTTCAGTAAATGATTTGAATAATACCTCTTCAACTACTGGTTACTTTAGCTCTGCTGTGAAGATCAATTTGGCCTATGCATCCATCATTTGGCCCCTGAAAAACATTGAAGACCGGACCCTAAAATCACGCCTTCCTTTTGTTTGATTGACAGTGTATCGACCAATCAAAATAATCTACAAATCTATACAAACTTAAACCACCTTTCTCATTGGTTATTACTGCCGTCAGTCAATGACGTCAGGACCTCCATCTAACCAATGGTTAGGCACTTGGTCTTTTTTTTTTTTTTTTTAGTAGAGGATGAGCAACAGGCTGGGCTCCTTCTGTGTGTAGCTCAACGAACCGAGTTAAACTGTTTACTGTTAGACAACATTACTAGTGTGAAGCCTACATTGTTTAGTGTTGTCTCTTTTTGTTGAAGTGGCAGTAAGTGGAGGAAGATACCTGCATTCACGTTGTTTTTTTAAATAGATAACCAGATTTGTTCGAGGCCGTGGCATGGATGAGGTACGGCCTACCAGTGGTGCTCAAGCCCACGGGCTGGTGCCGCTGTTTCCTCCCGGACTGCAGGCTATCTACGGGGAATGCCGGCGACTCTACCCCGAGCAAGCCAACCCGCTTCAAGTAACAGCCATTGTTAAATACTGGTAGGTAACCCGTTCTGTTGTTGCTTGTCTGATATCTCTGCAGGTACTGCGTTTGTGGGACATGTTTATGTAGGGATGGCAAGGGTCTAGCCAACAATTAGCTTAGCTGCCAAGCTAACGTTTCAGCCAACTAAATCCAGGAACCAAACTTTAGGTAACGGCTGCTGTTGTGTGGAGTTTGAGGTGTCAGTACCAGGCTATACTAGCCTAATTAAAACATATTCATTTGAATGTATCTCACTACTTGGATAAAAGTTATTGCCTCCCAGGTAAGCCAACAGTGTGTACATGGGTGAACCGAAAAGTAACTGCAGTCCATTGACAGAAATAAAAAATTTTGATATGGCTGATGGTTTTCATTTTATGCTTCTCGCAGGTTAGGGGGACCAGACCCGTTAGACTACATCAGTATGTATAGGAATATGGGCTGTCCAGCTCAGGACATCCAGGAGCATTGGCACTATGTCAGCTTTGGACTGAGTGACCTGTATGGGGATAATAGGGTTCATGAGTAAGTACACTAATGTAACAACTTGACTTCCAGTTGCCCTGGGGAGTTGGTGCAAATTCAACACACATTTGATGACAAAGATGAAGAGCTTCATTGATCTCTTTTGCATTGAATTTATTTAAAATTTTCAAAAATGATGGAAATTGGTACATCCCATTGCCTTTGTCAGGAGCCCTTTCACAGTATTAACACTACACCTAATGACCCTCTATTATTGCTATTATTCTGGAGCATGCTGTTGATCTTGAGAAGCAGTGGGATTTCCACGACCTTCATGTATATAAAAGAGAATAAAAGTACTGTTGCTTGCCTGTGTGTGTCAGATTCACAGGGGCAGACGGACCCAGTGGATTTGGCTTTGAGCTCACCTTTAGACTCAAAAGAGAAACGGGGGAGACAGCACCACCAACCTGGCCTGCTGAGCTCATGCAAGGCTTGGCTCGCTACGTGTTCCAGTCAGGTAAGAGCACAACGTTTAGGGGTGAAAAACACAAAACAGTGGTATTTATGTTTTGCATCTTTGCATGGAGTAAGCAACACATTAAAAACCAAGAGGTCCAGGCAAGTCATGTAATGTCTACTACATTGATTAAAAGTATAAATTACTTTGAAAAACATTATTATGACCACTTTTGCAGTAATAATGATGGAGGAATAGGAGAATACTTACTAATTGATGTTCCAATGATAGGGAAGCTATTTAGATTTATCATATTAAAAACATTTGGTTTTAAAATGGAGAAGGCTATTGCTTTTCTTAGTTTAGCTTAGTTTTTAGCCACTAGTCAGATTGAACAGGCAGTTTTGAGACATGAATTTGGTCTCTGGAGATGTTGTTTATCATTTAATGTTATTTTAGCCACTTTAAGAAGGAAATGATTAATTGATCAATCAATAATATCACTGACCAATTAAGAGGTTATAAAAAACATTGCTTTACATTCTTCGTACTGCACCTAGAAACGTTTTGTCAAAGAGTAATGATTTTCTCATCGAGTCACCATTTCTTAATAGACTAGTAAATGATTTATCTGCACTGGTTTTGATAGATCAACTCTCCTTTTGCTGCGGTTGCCATGCCTTCTTTTCAAGTCTTTGTGAATGTGAGGAATTTGGTCTTTGTAAAAATAGCTTGTAATTCCACTGATACATGTAAACATGCATGAATAGAGGAGTCTGCTGTCAGCAAAGGTCTTAAGTTTCGTTTACATCATTTGTGTTTGTTGGAGCTCTGGGTATTGACAGGAAGTCTAATTTCCCCTTTCTTTCCCTTTACCATTTTAATAGGATTATTTTTTATGGATGGCAAACAAGAGCACTGTTGTAGTGTGTGAATGTTTACTGTGTGTAAGAGAAATGGGTATATACTGATCTGCTAAGTTCTTTAAATCCTTCAGTTGTGTATATAACGTACACAACAAAGTGTGGTTGAGCTCAGAGGGAGCATTTAAAAGCCACGCAGAAAGAGAAGAGGGCTATTCTCTCCAGGCTCCCCTCTCCTTTCCATCCAACCCTCCTCTACTCTCCAGCTGGGGTCAATTTGCGCGTGGGTGGGCTAGGCCCCTGAGCTAAATGAATGCTGATTCCTGGCCATCATCCCCCTCATTTTTCTCCTGCAGCAAATCTGGACTGGGTGGATGTTACCTCCCAAGCAGATTCCTCAGATGGAAATGTAGTTTTTATGTTTTGTTTTTGTTTTTTTTGTTTTGATTTCTCCCTCTCTCTCTCTCTTACCCAAGCTCATTCTTTGCTGATCTGTGTCCCCTTTTTTCCTGATACTGTAACTTCCCCTCAGAAATTCTGTTCCGTCAAATAATGAAAAGCAGGAGAGCACGTGTTTCTCAAGGCTGGTTGAGGGTACAGGCCCAAATGCAATTTAGACAATTTAAAACAACATATTTTGTCATACTCTAAAATGTATGTCTACTCTTGTTCTCTCTTGTACAGAAAACACATTTTGTAGTGGCGACCATGTATCGTGGCACAATCCACTAGACAACAGTGAATCTCGTATCCAGCATATGTTGCTTACTGAGGACCCACAGATGCAGCCAGTTCATACGCCATTTGGCGCAGTGAGCTTTCTCCAGGTGAGTTCAAATATGTGATATTCACACAGCGTAAATAACTTCACATGATGCACTTTTGGGATCTGGACAAAACATGGACCAACATTAGAGGAGATGAGGATGCCAGTAGCCCTGCAATTTAATATCAGAGATGATAAACTAAAACAATAAAAGTCAACACGTGAAAGAAAAACCTTTGCCTAATCTAAATAGTTTTATTGTCCAGTAAAATAATGGATCTTTGGAGCCCAGCAGTGTTTGTACACTGATCTGCCTTTAAGTTTAAGAAAAAATAAGTTAATACAGTATGTGTATTATCAGTCCCAGGGCAACAAGCAGACTGGCACATCAACAATCATATTGCTGTGTCTGTTTTCTCTTTATATCACATCAGCTGAACTGTTGAATGAATACATTGCTATACATCTGACTAAACCGATTGTGACATTTAGTCAATATTACATGGTAGTACCAAACATTTGTAGAAATGCTGAAACAGCCTTATCGATTTAGTTTTCGTTCTTACCAATTAAAATGAAAGCAGCAACAACAGTAAGAAAGACTCTGAAACATTATACAGTAACATGATTGTAGACCACCCTCCAATGCTGTGCACCGTCTCTTGTAGATTGTGGGTGTATGCACAGAGGAGCTACAGGCAGCCCAACAGTGGAACGGTCAAGGCATCCTGGAGCTGATGCGTGGAGTCAAAGTGTGAGTAGACCTATGTATTAGCACATGATTCAGGCTCGATTACGGAGCCATGTTTTAGGTTTGAAAACAATACTTTAGATATTGGGTTATGCTATTTCTCATTGGTTTTTATTTTTTTGGTTAACTCTGTTTCATAAGTGATTGTTGATTAGTTAGGTTAGTTCTCTGTTTCATAGCTTAGGATTGCTATGTCAACATAAATGTCAGTCTTAGAAATTTTAGTTTGTGATGAGAAACTCAGAATTTAGATGTGCAGTAAATATAACTTAACTTGCTTCAAGACACTATCTGTTTTTTGTAAGTGCATTTGTGTGTGAACTGAAGTAAAAACAGAAAAGACCACTCCACTGTAACACATATGGCATTCAGTCTGCAAACACATTGTGAGCAGCAGAGTAAAGAAGTAGTTCCTTGTCCATTTATTAACTTTGTGTGTTTAACTTGAGGTTAACGCAGACCTGGACTAATGTTGATGATCGTCCTGTGTACAGAGCTGGTGGCCCCTGGCTAATCACAGATATGAGGAGAGGGGAGACCATTTTTGACATCGACCCACACCTACAAGTAAGGCTTTATTAAGTTCTTACATCCAGCTTAGGGCACTATATTTCCTTTATACAGTGTGAGATTAGGGGTATGTATTATATAAAAATGATGCATTAACTTTTTAAAAGGTATTGCAGTCCACTATTATGTTGTGCAAGGGGTTTATTGTGAAGCTCTGTGTTTGGATAGATGCCCAGTAAAGGGAACTGGGTGAAAAAGTTGAGCTACATTGTAAAGAGTTAAGTTTAAGGAAAGTGATTGTCCATATACAAAGATATAAACAGATAAAAGAAAGCTATTTTTAACTTGGCCTCGACAAGGTCAAGAATTTGTCCTGGGTATCAGCCCTGATATGTTTTAGGGTTTTGGAAGTATACCACTTTCATGGTTTACCATTGTGTGAAAACTGCTGGTTATCATACCATGTACATTTGCTTATTACAGGTATTGAAAAAAAGTGAGAGTGATCTCATCAGTCTCCATCCCGGAAAAAGAAATTGGGAGATAATCCTTGCATCGTCTTCTTAATCAACTGGTCTTGGATCTTAATCTCTTTGTACCTTGTGCCTTTTAGTATGTTGACCTTGATCTGGTATTTCCATGGCTTCAAGATTATCAAGTGTGGATATTTGTCTTTCTTTTGCTTGACACTGAGTCAGTGGCATCATTCCAAATCCTTGTTATTTCTACTCCTAATTTCACCAATATCAGATTGACCCGATAATTAGTTAAACTGACTCCCTCTTCCTCTTCTGGCAGGTTGAGGATTCTAATGTTGTTTTTTTCTCATTCTATTTTCCTGATAATACATCTCATCTGACAAGCATTACAGCTGTTTTTCCACAGAAACTTTCCTCTTGTCTTGTGAATGCACGCCTTGAGCGAGGACGTCAAAGACAATGGACTAAATTTACTTGTCGAATGATTCATCTTCATTTTTAGCAGATTTGACTTTGTGTTCAGCCAATATCAGCATAAATAGTATTTTCCCTATGTTTTGCTGGATACCATTTACCTGTTCATTACTGTCCCTGGCATCGCCATGTTTTTTATTCTCTTTGTTTCTGGCCTTCCGGGACATTGTTGATTTGATTGTTCTTGTTTCTCAGAACTCACAAACTCGTTAGATCTCTCAAATCTTTTACCATTATAAACTTGGAACTCCAATCTATCTTCTTGATTCCATGCAGATTAATCTTCTGGATATTTATTATAGCTCAGTTTAGGCACAGCTTTTCTTAGAGCTACTAGCGTGGGATCACTTTGGATATCCCAAAATGAATGAGGGTACATGGAGAAACCACATCAAACATATGCACCCATCTTTGATATCCTGAACGAAAAAACATGAATGTTGTTCATTAATTGTTCATATCGAAATAATTTCCCATATCCTGCCTCCAGGTTACATCTGCATTGTCTGGTCGATTGGTAACCTACGACTTACTAACAGATACACACTGACCCCGATCTGGCCACATAATGAAACACACACGAACTTTCCTGGTTCGGGGGGGCTGAGTGTGTGTGAGTTTAAGTTACAGCACCAACAGTAAATTGGCAACTGTTTTGTTAATCGATAAACTTGTACATTATTTTTCTCTCTGACTGTATTAAGAACCCTCTGTTATCGCATAAATCTTTATGCAGTGTCCTCTCATTTCTGAAAATGTTAACTATATGTGAGCTAGTGTTAATGATTGCGTATATTTCTTGCTCATCTAAGCAGGAGAGAGTGGACCAGGGTATCGAGACAGAGGGCTCTAACCTGAGCGGGGTGAGCGCCAAGTGTGTTTGGGACGATCTGAGTCGACCGCCAGAGGATGAGGAGGACAGCCGATCCATCTGCATAGGATCACAGCCACGCAGGCTCTCAGACAAAGGTATACCAAGTCCCAAAGGAACGAATAGAGTAGATCCTCTAATTAAGACTGAGCATGGTGTGATAATTCCATGCTGATCTTTGTGTGTGTGTTGACAGACACAGAGCAGATCAGGGAGACCCTGAGAAAAGGACTGGAGTTTAACAGCAAGGCAGCACTACCACCCATCAACACCCAGAGACAGAGTCATGAGAGACCTCAGTGAGTCTTCCTCCCACATACCAACACACACAAAAAAAACATGGGTTCAGCTCAGCACAAAGGTTGCACCAGGATGACTCCTTCCACATTGTGCAGTGACTCACGGTGCATTTGACATCTGAATTTTTATCACCATTGTGTTTTAGCTACTAGCATAATATGGTGGTGTGTCACTATCCTGTAGCTGTTTTTCTGTGGAATTCATTGCGTCTGCTGCAGAATCAGGTAACAGTTTCTGAAAGTCGTTGTGAAATCTGTGGCTGTACACTCACATATACATACACAGGCCAAAGAGCTATTGTTTCCTTCACACTGGCCGTTTCTCACAGACAGCCGTCTTCTCATTGCTGATTGTACCATTTCTCACTTCCTCACTTACATTTTCCTTCCACCTTTCTTTTCTGTTCATTGTCCGTTTCTCAGGAGTCGGAAAGACAGTTTGGAGAGTGAGAGTTCAGCAGCCATTGTTCCACATGAGTTGGTCCGAACACGTCAGTTGGAGAGCGTCCATTTGAAATTCAACCAAGAGTCAGGCACACTGCTGCCCCTCTGCCTGCGGTACTGCACTACACCTTCCACCCACACACGATATTTACCCTTTGGGAATGCCTGTAAGACAAACGGATAAACAAAAAGTCCAAACTTTCATGTAGATTGGGTGTGGCAGTATGTCTTAATAAAACACCAGAGAAAAAACACAGATGATGCCAGTTTCTCAGACGTTCAGTAGGGACTTTCTGCGAGTCAGCTCCAAACTCTTGATTGTCCTCCTCACACGTTTGCTTTGATGTTACTTCAAACTGTCACAAAAATAAAAAACTCGCTATTTATTATAATGTTCAGTGCTATTTTAAGAAAATCGAATTTTCAAAGTAAACATAAATAAACATAAACCTGTGTCATGAATAAAGTGACCGTTATTCATTTATTGTTGGTCACTTTTAACCTAAGGAGGGGATAAGGACTCTGGTCCCCTGTACTTGCCTGGCATGTTTTGTGTAAATAGGTTTGCTGTTTTTACCTCTTTTCTGATCCTTAACCAAGGGAAGCCAGTAAAGGTTACTACTGTACATTGATAATTGAATCACTGGAGTCAACATAGTTCATGCACAATGACTAGTTAGTTAACTTATCAAACAATATCTAGAAAACTGTTTTATTAGTATCTGTGTTCATTTATTACAAAATACTTGCCTGTTTCTACATGTCTACAATTACTCAGGGAAATATTTCTTTTAAGTCAAACAAGGAAACTTGCAACATTACATTTAATTTGTGATTATAATATCATGCAAACATTTTTATTTTTGCATTGTCTACCTTCAACAGGAAAACTCTTTAAAGCTTCACAAAATCACAGAAATGCTTTGAAAAAGCTTGACAGTAATTGTCATATGGAAAGAGAAATGAAAACACACATTATACACTTGTAATGAACTTTGCACTTCATGCTGTACTGTATTTAATCTTTTACAGGGGCCGGTTGCTCCATGGGAGACATTTCACTTACAAAAGTATCAATGGAGACACAGCCATTACATTTGTGTCTACAGGAGTTGAAGGAGCTTTTGCTACTGAGGAGCATCCATATGCAGCCCACGGCCCCTGGCTTCAGGTATACACCCACAGACTCTCACATAAACTCATTTTCCATTTTGTGCTTTCATATTTAATGTATGTTTTGGACTTTCTGCTCTCCCCGTATAGATATTGTTGACTGAAGAGTTTGTGGAGCAGATGCTTGGGGATTTACAGGAACTTAACACTCGTGAGGAGGTAAGTAAAAAAAAAGTAAGTATTTTGACTTTTATTTTCAGTTTTGTTTTCTTCAACTTGCCTGCCTGTTTAACCTTGTGTATCCTTTCCATTTGTATAGACAAAGTTACCAAAGGAGTACAGTTGGCCAGAGAAGAAGCTGAAGATCTCTGTTCTACCAGACTCTGTGTTTGATAATCCACTCCAGTGAGACCGAGACACTTAATCACTAGAAAATACCAACAATACCTTCAAACACACACTTCGGGGGGTGGGGGCATCATGAACAGGAAGGCTCCCAGGACATGCAGCGACCCTGAGGGTGCACAGATATGTTGTTCCCACAGTGGACGGCCTGAGACTGTTTCATCCCTTAAGATGATCTGACTTCTAACTGTTACTGCATTCTCCGACTATCCCCACTGTTAACAACATTTCTCTGAGACTTGAATGCTTTTGAAAATGTCAAGCCAGCCTGTCCAGATGGTTGACCTGTTAGAACAATCATTATATGTGACATACCAGCTGTAGGGCAAAACAGGATGTTGTCATCCCTCCAGTAAGGCCTGCCAGGTCCAACATATACGTCACAAATGCAGTTGAGCATGCATCCTGTGATCACCAGACATTATATCCCAAGCAATAAATGAGGTGCCGTTCTCAAACTACTTTTATTCTATTTATTCCAGTGGCCTTAGAAAGGGCAGAAAAGTCCATTCTATCAGTATTGTTTTCAATTGAGCTAATGTGTATAGTATTTACAAATGCTGGACATTTTTCTCTTATGTGTTTGTGGTCATACCAAAGTTATAACTGTTGGCAGTCCACTGCCAGTACTGTCTGTGTCTCAAATGTGTCATGATTCTGAGAGAATGACATGACAGGCTGAACTATTATTAACTACTATTCACTGCCTGTTTGACTGGGACAACCAAACAAGCATCTGAACCTTTTTCTTAGATATTTGGCAAATGCTGCAGGTATAACCACCTCTACCCCCTGTGCCAAGAACATGACTCCCATATTGAGTAATCATTTTTTGAATATGTCTTCTTTCAGATTTTCCATGCTTGATGATACATGTTTTAGAGTGATGAGATGAAATCCATCAAGTCCGTTGTAAATGTGCAAAGAGTAGGAATCTGTGTGTAGTGTCCTCTCTCAATGTGTTGTCTTTCGGGGCCCACAAAATATTAAATTTTTTTTTTTTTTATCAGTAGGACCTGCTTGAAAGTTGGAGTAAAATTCCTCAGTGCCCTGTGCTGAAAAGGACCACATTCTCTGTTGACTCTTGCCTTCAGCTCCCCTGGATTGTTCAGAAACATCACTTTGATTCTAGGCCGCTGCGTTCACTGGCTTGCATTTCTGATGCTGTCATTGCATTCCATGTTAACACCAAATCAAAGAAAAGACTACTTTTACTACAATGTCCTCTTACAAAAATGTACTCTTATACAATCTTATTTTTGTTTGTTTTTTTTGTTTTGTTTTTTCCAGAGTGACGAAATTTAGACATTGTTGATATGGTATTTTGTAATTGCTATCTTATTGACTGAACTGGCTGATTGTAATCCCAAGTGCATTAAAGAGTGTAGATATTTACACAAATAAAGCTGGAACACTAATGCAGAATTACAGAGGAACTTGTTTCTTAAAACGTGTTTATGTGAACACAGCATATTATGTCTATTTATATATGATTTCCTATAAATATATGTGAATAATGAGGAACCTTTTACAATGGGCTTATAAGTAATAACTAACGGCGCAATTAAAGGTTGATAAATTGTATAATAATACTTTATAGATCCATTAGAAGCCAGTAATAAGAGCAAGTTTTGGTTGCTCTTATTAATGGCTTGGGCTGGAGGTGACTTGCTCTGTATAGTTAAATCAGATCTAAATGTTAGTGATCTATTATTAAATACTCCTGGGTTTCTCACTTTCTAATTGCCCATTATGTCTGCAGTTAGAAATGATACCCAGTCATTAATAAGGGTCATGGGTTTATCAGTATCTTTCTAATTTAATAAGTTTAATAAATTGTGAATGTCAATAAGCTGTTGATAAATAAATTTTGGTCCAGAAGTTCTGCAAACTTTTCCCAGCAGGTAAGTGGTCTAAAAGTCCATTGGAGTGGTTCTCCTAAAGCTGAATTACCAACCGGGCAAAGAGGGTAACTGCTGCAGGACCCCAAATGAGCCTCATGTTCACTGCATGTTACTTTGCTTCTTCTAAATTGATAGCTGAAAAGCTGTCAGGGAATTTGCACCACTCAATTACTTTATCAACTAGGACTTGATTAACTCATGTCATTTTTGCGATGTCTTTTAGGATCTGTGTTATTAATATGAATGTTTTATGATGCGCTCACATGGTGCATATTCCTAAATAAAGTTGCTTAATTGAAATGGATAGAGTAGAGAATAGAGGTTTTTATTTTTTATAGAGCAGTGTGCACCCTGGACTGAATTTACAAACCACAGGGTACAAGCACTACACTGAGGGCAGTAGGTGGGTAAACTCTTAATCTGGGATCCTCTCACAGGTTAATCCGGCCATGCTGGAGGAAAATAACCACAAATTTGAGATTTTTCACCACCCAACACGTTATCTTTTTGACAGCTTGTAACTGATTTATAAGCATTAGTAAATTATTTAACCATCAACAAAACTATATTAACTATAGATACCGCCATTAGTTATCAACCTGCTGTTTATTACTGATGACTTTATCTATACTTGTCCGCACAGAAGGAAGACACAACCTTTTTTCCGCGTGACTCAGTGATTCAGTGTTTCTCCTCCCTCTCGCGGGCCCCCGGGGAGCTTCTGTACCGGCCAGCCAGGACTCCACTTTAGTAACCACTGGTGCAAAGGATGACCGGTCACACAAGTGTCTCCTGGTCATCTACGATCTCTCCGGTAGAGTTTGCTGTGGCCGTTCGTATGCCTGCTTCCTCTGGGCTCCTCCCCCCCAGTCTGTGTATCAACTCTGTGACGGGTCACGTTATCGGAGGGGGGCAGTCGGTGTGAAAGCACTGAGCTCCCTCCCGACGAGTCACAAGCTGCCTGCGCTGCTTACGATCAAATATTAGTCAAAGAGTTGACGGGAAAGCGAAAGCAGCTGAACAACAGCCCGGGATTCGTATAAAATCCCAGCGTTGAGCGCTATGCCGGACACACCGCTGTGATCTTACCGGAGGAGCCGGATCTCATCGCGGGCTGGATGCGATAAGCTCAGAGGCATTATAGGTGCACCGGAGTCTGCCGACGACATGGGAAATAAATAGTTGGTAACGTTGCTTTTCTTCCATAAGAATACATCGAATATGTTTCAGGAGACTACTCTAATGCTTGTTTGACAATAGGCAAGAGTGTCCTCGGCTAAAAATAAGATGTCAGTGTGATATTTTATTAGACAGAGTCTCATTTCCAGTGTCGCAAGTTGTCGCTTTCAAACGCCACAGCTTGTATGTGAATTCCCCGGCGAGTATTTACGAGCCAGATATTATATTGTCATTGTTAATTCTTTCGTTATGACAGTGTGTTGTCTAAGTTTGACTGTGATTGCACTTCGTTTGACACTTTGCTGCCGCTTGAATATATGAAGAGTTAATTTTCTTGGCCCACATCTTTCTGTGCCATTTTGGGCAGGATGTAAGTAACAAGACTTTGGTAGGCTTAAAGTGTCTTTCTTTATATGTTTCTAAAGGAGCTCAGTGCAGAAAGCAGTAATCCATATTTTGAAAAAATAATAATTTTCAGTTCTGCCCTTTTTTTAGTCACAGCACATCAGTTTGGATCCAGGTGAAGTCATGGATGCAAGTTGGAAAAACTGCTTGGAAGAGGAGCTTCTGTGTCCCATTTGCCTGAATGTGTTTGATGAACCCATCCAGCTGCCATGCAAGCACAACTTCTGCAAGGGTTGCATCTCAGAGGCCTGGGCCAAAGACAATGCTGCGGTCCGATGTCCCGAGTGCAACCATGACTACAACCAGAAACCCACACTGGAGAAGAACTTCAAGCTTGCCAACATAGTCAAGCGGTTTAACGCGTTGAACACTGAGAAAGTCCCTGCTGTGCTGCAGTGTGTCCTCTGCAGGCGAGGCCCCCAGCTGCCTGTGCGGAAGGTCTGTCTGCGCTGCAAGGAGCCCTGCTGCCAAACTCATATCCAGACGCACCTACAGCAGCCGTGTGCAGCCCCGGGACACCTGTTAGTTGACGCAGAGGAGCTGAGTGCTTGGACCTGTCCCAGTCATGAGGAGTACAGGCTACTCCACTGTGAGGAAGAGCAGGTGGCTCTGTGTCCGTTCTGCTGCATCTCTCACTGCACTAACCAAAGACATACAGTCTGCGATGTGGATACACAACGCATACAAATGCAGGTAGATAAATCACACCCACACATACTCTCCTGCTCAGTAATTCACTTTAAACTGGCAACTGAAACGCGGGTGACAGTCAAAAAATGTGATAGATGCACTTTCTTTCATGGATTTTGCAAATGTTTCTCTCAGTTCACTAGTCTATAAAGGCTTCCTTTATTTGCCTCTTCCTTTAATCTCATGTGATGTGAGAGGAGTGGACAGGTGAAAAGCCACCCCTCATAGCACCCACTCCACACTGCCACACCTTCACATTAGCCACCCTGTGCCTTGGGGTAAGTGCTGTGATGCAATCTGCATCCGCCGGAAATGATAACCCCTGTGCAGTGGGGGCGGATCCACATGCAGTTTGTTTAGCTGGTTGGTTAGCTCACTTTCATCATTTGCTGACGAGGAAATGTTCTCTGGCTAGGCTGATAAATGAAATGACTGGTTTTGAGAAGGAAATGTGGTGATTTGTAGGATGTACACAAGACAGCAAGTTCATAACTTTTTGAGTTGGAAAAGTGATTCTAGTAAAATTCCCAGGGGGAGAGAGGAACAGTGATTCTGCTTGTGTTAACTTAACTGACAAGAAGTGAATAATGATCTTCCTTGGCAGGGTTGACCTCAGGATGCATGGAGGTATGCGTCTCGCTTAAGGCCAGCGTGTCATGGCTGTGTCCACCTCTGTATTTTCCTAATTTTTATACTTTATTTCAGTTCACTCTCTTTTCACAAGTCTAATCCAAGTGGCAAGGTGTAAAAAAACAACCACCCACACTGCCTTATACACAATTCTATCTGTGAAGGGGCGGTAGTGAGAATCAGATTAGTTTTAGCATCTGCCGTGTTGCGGTCTTGTTGAAACATTTGATGATCGCATTATTCCAGTCAGGAAAGTTACGGACGCATTTCTTTCCAGTGTGTAGATCACAAAGTTCTAAATTGGTAGAAGTCTTTGGTGCAAACTGTTGCTCTGGTTCAGAGCTATTATTGGGACAAAAGATGTCTGTTCAGCCCTTTCCACAGCTGCTCTCTACACACACACACACACACAGACACACACACGCACACACCCACCCATTTTTCTGTTCTTTCACAACTGTATGTTTGCAGGGTAAATGGAGTTATCCCGGAGTCAGAGTCCCTGGCTCTTCTCAGATGAACACTCTCCATGCTCGGGCCTTTAGACAGAGTGCACTCTAATATTGATAAATGTGGCAACAGCCAAAAAGTTAACTTCTTCTTGGATGCTGGGTCATTTGTTAAAGTAATTTGAGGCCAGAGAGGCTTCTCATCATCACTTACTGAGAGTTTGTTCTCCTTGACAGAGCTGTGGTCTATTTTGGTAAAAGGATTTTAAATTCCCCTGGCAGCACTCTTCTTGCTTTTTGGATAAACAAAGAGGGAAAAACCAATGTAGTTATGTTCATATCTTTGGTTGTTTTGGCTCTCAAAGGAGACTTTTACAGTAACCCTTTGCAAGGTGTGCTGGTAAATTTGGGACGTGAATGGAAGAATAATATAATAGTAATGTCGTCCCTTGAACAGGCGGAGGTGGAGCCCTCCCACACAACCTCACCCTGGTTTTCTCAGGCATCTCTGCAGGAAACCGTCGCTCCTGGAAGCTCCACCGTTAGCAATTTCTTCTATCTGGGCTGGAGTGAGTCAGTTCCCCAGAATGCTGAGGGCAGTCTATTGACATCAGACGTGGGGAATAGTTCTCAGTTGATTGTGAAAGAGGTTCTCTGTTCATTGAGCCTGAGGCTCCTCATTTAAACATGAGCTTCCTGGCAACCCGCGGGTGT